AGTTTTTCCTTTCTCTCGCGGCTCGTCGTGAAGGTGGGAACGTCTGGGTACATGTCCTTGGTGTTGGGCACTGAGCTATGAAGTCAGTCAAGTCGTGGGCAAGTATATCCATCGTGATGCTGGCCGGCGACGATCTGATGCTGTTGGGACGGACAACGTTGGCTGTAGGTGCAAAGAGGCGAGACGCGGTTGTCCGTTTGACGAGATAAATTGGAGCTCCGGGTTATCCTGATTGCAATCGTTCTCATTTCAAAGGGAAGAGTGTGAGATTTGGTCGCAGCCTTGTGGGTTTCGAGGGCTGATGTGAGATTTGCTGACAGGCGCGACAAGGTGTTGAAGACGAGCTAAAGAGAGTGTGTAAAGGCGTTACGAGTACGGAAAGAGTTGGCGCGGGATTTTGGAGATGATGCAGGAGCGAAGACAACGACGACGAGGGAAAGGCGCTTAATCACAATTGAGGGGCCTGTATGATCTGCAGCTGTTGTCTGAATGTGGAAGAATGCATCCGTCTCATTCCTCAGCCCGGCGTTGATGATGTGTTTCTGGGTTCCAATGGATGGACGGGTGGAAAGGGGGGGGGTTGTGATTGGTTGATGACTTTTTGGCCAATCGTATTGCTTCGTTTCGACGTCTCTGCTGAAGTGCGCTGCAATGCGAGTCGGCGAGATGGAAAGAGTCTCTTCCGTTGTAAATACAATCAGAAAACGGAATACAAAGGACTTTGCTCATCCATGAATTGAATTATGCCGTAATCCGTGGTCAGATTCTTGAGACTCTCGAGTTGAGAGGCGATGATGAAGTTGGATTACTGATTATTAACCAATGGCATGAGGTCAAATCACGCCCCTGCTTGTCTCCAACTGGGCTCTGTCATCATTCGCCGGATCGGTCTTTCTCTGGCACCGGCGATATTCTAGAATCCAATGGACGTCACGTGGGGTCTGTAAGGTAGCTGGCACTTGCAGATTCCCCCGGTCGCGGCCTTCGGCAGGGAAAAACTCGGAAGGCAGCACCGCAATGTCGTGGTCAATGAATAACGTCAACTAGCGCATTTCGCCTCAACGTATCCATATCCGCCGCTCCGTCGCCGCTCAACAAGACGACGAGTAATCCACGGCGAACCATGTCATCTTCATCACACCTCCGCATACGACGTCGATAGCAACTGCAGAAGTTTTTTTTTCTCTCTTTTCCCTTCTTTTTTCGATTCCGTAAGGGGAACTCCCTGTACGAACCCTTCGTTACCATCCCCAACACATCAGTCAGAAGCAGCAAACCATCAAAAGTGTCCACTCTGACAGGCAACACGCGATCTAGTCGACACTGCGCCTCCTCGGCTACCCCCAAGGCATCATGGCCTTACGCCCAGCAGCGCTGGCGCTGAGCGCGATCAGCCCACTGCTCCGACGGGCGGCGATGCAACCCGCGACGATGCAATCGATCTTCCGCCTCGCGACCTCCTCCGCTCACCCGGCCGCCGCCGCCGTCCCCTTCACGAGGACTCCCGGTCTGGGCCTTGCATTCCAACTTCAACGACAGCAACAACACCGACTCTTTGGAACCCACAATGCCATCTCGCGCAACCTTCTCGCTACTAGGGAGTCGGCGGCGAACAGGAACCCAGGCAGTGCGACCGCGCAGAACGCATTTTACCAGCTCCTCCTCAAGGCCAACATGCCCGCCATCGTCATCGAGCGCTACAACTCCGGCCGATTCGCGAGGAACGAGGCGGTGGACCAGGCATACGCGCAGGCAATCGGCATGCAGAGCACCGGGGTCGTTGGCGGACTGGGTGGTCATGACCACCTGCCCTCCGCCTTTGGCAACGCCGGTACGCTCGGCGGCCAGGAGCTGAACCAGCAGTCCCCAGGAAACCTTAGCCAGGCGCAGCTGCAGGCTGTTGGTCAGGCTCTGGCTGCGAGGTCCCGCGACTCGAACATGGCTACCGCCAAGATCCAGGGCAACGGGCAGCCGACTAACCCGCTGCACGTCGTCGTGGACGAGTCGTTTGGCGGTGTCGTCTTCCGCTGGGTGAAGTTCATCTTGTGGTTCTGCCTCTTCACGTACTTAAGTCTGGTCGTCGTCACGATGTTGGTCGAGGGTCTCAACCTCTTCAAGCGACCCGGTGGCAAAGTCGACAGCGAAGCCAAGGCCGAGAACCAGACTACCCGATTCGCAGACGTGCACGGCGCCGACGAGGCCAAGGATGAGCTCCAGGAGCTGGTCGACTTCCTCCGCAACCCCGACAAGTTCTCCACCCTCGGCGGCAAGCTTCCCAAGGGTATTCTGATGGTCGGTCCCCCCGGTACTGGTAAGACTCTCTTGGCTCGCGCCGTTGCTGGCGAAGCCGGCGTCCCCTTTTTCTACATGTCTGGCAGTGAGTTCGACGAGGTCTATGTCGGTGTCGGCGCCAAGCGCGTCCGCGATCTTTTTGCTTCCGCCAAGTCCAAGTCTCCTGCCATCATCTTCATCGACGAGCTCGACGCCATTGGTGGACGCCGCAACACTAGGGATGCCGCCTACCACAAGCAGACGCTCAATCAGCTTCTGACGGAATTGGACGGTTTCGAGCAGAACAGTGGTGTTGTCATCATTGCTGCTACCAACTTCCCGGAACTTCTTGACAAGGCTCTGACCCGACCTGGACGTTTTGACCGCCATGTCACCGTTCCCCTCCCCGACGTCCGCGGCCGCATTGAGATTTTGAAGTACCACGCCAAGAAGATCAAGGCCGCCCCCGAGATCAACTTTGAGGCCATCGCTTCTAGCACTGGCGGCCTCTCTGGTGCCGAGCTCGAGAATATTGTCAACCAGGCTGCCGTTCGCGCCAGCAGGCTCAAGAATGCTGCGGTCTCCATGACGGATTTCGAGTGGGCCAAGGACAAGGTCATCATGGGTGCTGAGAAGAAGAGCATGGTTATCAGCCAGAAGGAGAAGGAGATGACGGCTTATCACGAGGCCGGTCACGCCCTGGTATCATTCTACCACGAGAGCGGTCCCAACAAGCTCTACAAGGTTACCATTTTGCCTCGCGGCCAGAGTCTTGGACACACTGCACACCTTCCCGAGATGGACAAGTACTCGTACACGACAAGGGATCTCAAGAGTCTCATTGAGACTTCTCTGGGCGGAAAGCTCGCTGAGGAGCTGGTCTACGGCACCGACAAGGTGACTACCGGTGTTTCAAGTGTAAGTCGTCCTCAAATCAATCAACGAACCGAATCATTACTGACAGTCAACAGGATCTCAAGAATGCCACCAACTTGGCCTTCCAGATGGTCGCTCTCTATGGCATGTCTGCCAAGCTCGGCCCCGTGGAGTACGGCGAGCGTTACAACCAGCTCAGCGGAGAGACCAAGGCTCTCATCGAGTCAGAAGTGCAGCGTACCTTGACGGAGTCGTACGAGAAGGTGCGGGAGCTGCTCACGTCAAGACGTAAGGAGCTCGATCTTCTGGCCAAGGCTCTCGTCGAGTACGAGACGCTGGACAAGAACGAGGTGGAGAAGGTGATTCGCGGCGAAAAGCTTCCTGACCGCACGCCCATGCCCAAGGGTCCTATGAAGGTGCCTGCGAGCTCGGGTGTCGACATTGGCCAGACGATTCCCCCGCCGTTCCCTCCCCCTGCCGGATCTGCCACGCCTCCCCCGGCGCCACCACCACCCGCGACCTCTACGGGCGGCATCGCTCCCGGGTCCAACCAGAAGCCATGATCAAAGCCCACTGGACGTGACTCTGATCCGGACTACTATCAATACATTTTATTTTTACGGTTAGCATGCGGAAATGTGAGGGCCGAGTCGCGGCCTGACGAGAGGCACTGGTATGGTCTCACTTGTGTCATTTCATTGGTACAGCATGGCAGGCGTTTCAGAAATTCAAAGAAGAATGTGCAATTTCATCTGCTTTGGAGGACAAACAGTAAAGCAAGACAACCAGGCTCCGGCCCACGCAGCTCTGGGTCGGCACAGTTTTGGCCAAAAGCAAAAAGAAGCTGAAGGGGTCTCTTAGATCCGCTGCGCGCAAACAATACTCTCCCCTCACTTGGGGCATTGATACGCCTCGTAATTAAGACGTCGGCGTCGGGCATAGTTTGGTTGGCTACTTATTGGGTAAAGGGAGGGGCCTAGCCAACCACGTAGGTCCATACCCCGTCACAGCGACGCAAGCGGACCGTTCTCTACGCGGAATGACAGCGGCTGGACTCGGTGACCTATGGCCACTCGATTGAGTGTATTATTTCGTTTGTAGAATTATGTAAATGAAGTATAGCCCGGTACCTGATGAAGACTGGCTAAGCAGCTTGACTCTGTCTTACTTGGCAATGTGTCAGACTTTGCGGAAGATGGAGTTTGCAGTGATAGTTCGTCGTGAAAGTCCCTGATTTCAAGTTGAACCAGAGTGACATAGCTGCCAAAAAGTCGTCAAAGGGAGCTCGGCGACAGCGGAAACTGAAATCCAGTCTTGTGTTTACGATATCTTCGGAGCACGCCTCAGTGGTCGTTGAACCCGCCGACGTTGAATTGTCGCTGAATGTAGGTAGTAATCTCGTGCGATGTACGGATATGATTGAATGTTTAAAGGAAGACATGTTTACAGATAGCGATGGACGTGGGAAATGGGGAGCCCACAGCGGGGAGAGGCGGTCCCGAGCCGGCCCCGGGGGGTTGTCCATCGCTAACATCTGGGGTAGACCCACCGACAGCGCGCGGCCAATTGGCGGGGTACGGATACTGGGTACAAGTCTTCGAATCCCCCGGTGAGCCTCGGTTCGGTCCAATTCAACCAAGGTCAAGCTCCAGCTCCATCCCTCAGCCTCCGCATCGTCATACCCCTCCACCTTTTTTTACATATTCAACATCCAGCTGCGCCGCATTTTTGCATAGCATTGCCATTGCATCCAAATAAGCTGTCCCTTTGTCTTCTCTCATGTAAATTAGTTCCCAGCCGAATTGACCTCAAATATCCATCATTTATCCATCATCATCATCATCATCATCATCATGTCGGACAAAGCAACGCAACGGCTTCAAGCTCTGGGCAAGGGTCTCGATGCGCCTCCTCCTATCAAGATTGCCGGTCCTTCTGCGGCGCCTCGAGTACCTGGCAAGGTCGTGATTATCACAGGTCGGTCAATCCATCTCCGGAAGTGGACGCGGACCTTGGCCAACCACGTCCCAACGTCCCGACCAGCAGACTGACAATCAAGCCAGGCGCAAACTCTCTCATGGGCATCGGTCGCGCATCAGCACATCAGTTCGCTGAGAACGGCGCCCGGGCTATTTATATTTGCGATTATGCCGACGACAACCTCGAGTCTCACAAGAAGGAGCTCAACAAGCTGTACCCCAATGTCGAGGTCCACACCCGCCAGTTCGACGCTGCCGAGGAGAGTGCTGTGAAGGCGGTCGTTTCTCACGCCATGACAACTTACGGCAGGCTAGACATCTTCTTTGCCAACGCCGGCATCACCGGCCCTCACAACGGTTTCACCGACATCTCCGCAGATGACTTTATGCAGACCCTGCGCACCAATACGCTGAGGTGAGTACCCTTACCGGCCAACATGCTCTCACTTCACCGTTCCTCCCTCTCTGACCCTGCCTGCGCAAAAGCGTCTTCCTCGCCGCCAAGCACTCCGCCCCCGCCATGGGCAAGACGTCCGCCGACAAAAAGGCCCCCGGCGGCAGCGTCATCCTCACCGCCTCCGTCGCCGGCATCCGATCCAACGCCGGCACGACCCCTTACTCCGCCGCCAAAGCCGCCGTCATCTCTGTCGCGCAGACCTGCGCCTACCAGGCCGCGGGAACCAACGTCCGCGTCAACGCAATCTGCCCAGGCCTTATTGAGACGGGCATGACGTCCCAGATGTGGGACGCGGCTCGCGCGCGTGGCACCACGGGCAAGATCGGGCAGATCAACCCGATGAAGCGCGGCGGCCACGCCGACGAGATTGCGCGGGTGGCGCTGTTTTTGGGCAGCGACGAGAGCAGTTACGTTAATGGGCAGGCGTGGGCGGTCGACGGTGGCTTGAGCGCGGGACATCCGTACGTGGTTGGGAAGCTTGCGTGATGAAAGAGAGCGGCTGCGGCGGCGGCGGCGGTGACGGCCGACTGCTGCAGCAAGGGAACAAAAGACTTGTTTTTTTTTTTCCTCTCCAAGTTTTTGATATGTGTACTTGTGCGGGCAATAGGCACTTTGTTTGAATACATCATATCTTCTGAGGGCAAGTTTGAAGGAATCGTGTCTGCGTATCCGTAGACATGTGAAGCATGCAAGGCGAGGCGAGGCAAGGCAAGGGTGAGTCAAGAGGGGCTGGGGCAAAGGTGGGTAAAGGTGGACAAGGTGTGGGCGGCCGAGGCTATCGCGGCCGGCTTCTGGGGCCGGCCGCACAGATTGGAAGGAAGTTAACCAATGTGGGTGAGCCCAGGTTCTCTGGATTCTCCAAGATGGACTTCGGTGAAGGGGCTCCAGTGAAGTCATTGGGCACGTCGACGGGAGAAGAAGGAGGGGCAGAGTCGCATTGACCCTCTTCGATCAAGGGGACCTTAATAGGGATCTTCAATAAGCCTGAACAGGTTTGGACGCCATTACCACTTTCCATCCTCGATGCCCATCTTCCGGGTTCCTCTTTTGTGGATAGCCGGAAACCATATCACAAGAGCCGTACAGATTCCGGACTGCGTGTGGAGGACTACGGGTCTATCCATCATCTTCCCCCTAAGCTAGCACACTAGCTGCCGCCTCCGCATCGCCATATCACATCGTACATTACATTCACTGCCGTCCTCATTCGCTCGTGGCGCGGGCCCATAGATTGCAATCCCACTTTTCAAAGGTGGGCTAGGGGAAAACATTCAAGCATAAGTGGCTTTGGCTGCTTCTGCATGCCACCAGAGGCTCGTCGACGGGTCTCCACAACCATGACTGGAATCGCAATCATCCAGAAGTCGTCGTACTTGCTACTTGGTCTTGTCCTCCTCCTCCTCCTCCTCCTCCTCCTCCTCCTTCTCAAAGCTCCGAAAGATGAAACCCACCCAAATTGGATCTCCAGGCACGTCTGTACGCGTTTGGCTAAGAGATCTCTTGGCGAAGCGGGCAGCCACGTAATGGAAGGAGGATTATCCGCCTTCCTCCTTCATACCAACGTCCCTCCTGCCGTGCTTTGCTTCTCTGCAGGAGTCTACGAGAGTGGTCTTTTGCTTATGCCTGGGTCTCGGCCAAGCCACGTAACCACCTCCCGACCGCCCACATCTCGATGCGCCATCCCAAACCGCCGCCGCCCCCCCCCCCCCCCCGGGCGGACCCCCCCCCCCCCCCCCCGCCCCCCCCCACCCCCCGCACCCCCCCCCCCCCCCCCCCCCCCCCAGGGCCCCACCCCACCCCCCGCCCCCCCCCCCCCCCCCCGGGGGTAGACGGCCCACTCACACCCCGATCCCGCACCATGCCCGTTGACCACACCTCACAATGCGGAACGGGAGGACCATCGTGTTGCCAAATGACAACCAACGCAATGCAATTGGAATTGCCTCTACCTTCATTGGGTGACTGCTGTCTTGGTCATCCAGATGCCACCAACCCTGCGACCCGCAGCGCACCCGCGGAGTGACGGACGCCAAGTCCTAGGTAGGTATCCTTGTAAACGCTGCGCGAGAAGAACCAACTCGCCCAAACTACATCCCAACTACCCTGCTATGGCTTAACCACACAGCTTGCGAACGATATGTCACGCCCCTCACACGCCGGTGGAAACAACTTTGGAGGAAAAGTGACGACAATGTCTCGCCAGGCGCCAGCGCGCGGGAGTGTGGGGAACGACGTCTTTACCTGGTACGAAGTGCCGTTGCTTTTGCGTGCTCCGTGCTCGACTTGTCGTGCGTGACATTGTTGGCCTGTGGATCGCTGCTTGCTAGTTGAGGGAAAATGAAGGGATGAGAGATGTTGCAATGCCATGACAATGCCAAGATGTCGACGAGATCAGGATCAGGAAGGAGGAAACAAGATGGATCATGGAAATGCCAAGAAGAGGAATGATATAAGAGGAGGCCAATTTTCCTGCCATAACGACGAATATCTCTTCTTCTCACCAGGCCCTTCACCTCCAATCGTCCTTCTCTTCTCCAGCTTGTTTCTGACTCTCTGTGGTCTGCTGCACTCGCCAGCACAAAGCCCGTCATCTTCATCTCAAGAGATCATCACCATGGCGCTCCGCTCCGCACTCGCTGCGGCCCTGGCTCTTTCCCCTTTCATCGGGGCCGTCGCTGCTCATGGTAGCCACACTGCCGAGGATATCGCGGCTGAGATCGCTCTCCGCGATATCGTCACCGTCCACGGCAAGCGCGCCCTGAATGCCTGCTCCAGCTCCCCCGCCGCCCTGGCCCTCAAGCAACGCGCCCTCGAGCGCCGCGCCGCCACCGCCCAGATGCTCCGTGAGAAGCGTGGCCTCACCGATCAGAAGATGCACCAGAAGCGCGCCCAGGCCGACCTCGTCAAGTGGGCCGCCATTGATCACGAGTCTTCCGCGGACTACACCCTGGACACCCCCCTCGAGGAGATCTTTGGTTCCAACGCCACCTGCGCCCTCGTCCCGGAAACCACCATCGGCCCGTACTACGTCGAGGGCGAGCTCATCCGCACCGACACCACTGACGGTCAGCCGGGTGTCCCCGTCCATCTGGACATACAGTTCGTCGACGTGAACGACTGCTCCGCCGTCCCCGAGCAGATCATTGACGTCTGGGCCTGCAACGCCACCGGCATCTACTCTGGCGTCTCGGCCCAGGGTCAGGGCGGTCTCAACACCACCCACGGCCGCGGTGTCCAGCAATCCGACTCTGACGGCGTCGTCGAGTTCGACTACATCTTCCCCGGCCACTACACCGGCCGCGCCACCCATATCCACATCATGTCCACCGACGGCGCCGAGATCCTCCCCAACGGCACATTCGAGGGCGGCACCGCCCGCAACATCGGCCAGCTCTTCTTCGACCAGGACCTCATCTCCGAGGTCGAGACCCTGGCTCCCTACACCAGTAACCGCCAGACCCTCACGACCAACCTCCAGGACGGCATCGCCGCGGGCGAGGCCACCGCCGTCTACGACCCTTTCCTCAAGTACGTCCGCCTCGGCGATGACCTCAACGACGGCCTCCTCATGTGGATCACCATCGGTATCGACACTACCGCGGACTATAACGACCATGTCAGCGCGGCTGCCCACTACCACGAGGGCGGCGGTGTCGACCAGAGTGGCGGCGGCGGCGGCCCCGGAGGACCGGGTGGCCCTCCTCCCAATGGTACGTTCCCTGCCGGTGCTCCCCCGGGTCCCTAAACCTCCCCCACTCCGTCTCTTTAAACCGCTGACCACTGTTGGTGCTGCAGCCTAGAGCTCGGGCATTTTCAGAAGGGTTTCTAGAAACACCTTGATTCAACTGCGCGCTGGGTGAGCGTTGTACAGGAGAGCAAAGTTGGGCATATTGTCGGGTCTTGTGTTGTGAGTAATTTGCTGACTGTACAATGCTCATATTGATAGGGAAAGTTTCATGCTGACGACATGGGCAGTTTGTGTTTAGTTCAGGAATAGCAAACGGAAATGAATACATATTACATTGTTCTACAACTTGACTCGCTTGGATTTACTTGTAATGTGATATGATAGCGTAAGGACTTTTAAGTATCCTGGACATGTCTGTGATGTTGTTTCGTTCAGAGCTTTACCATCACAAATCAAACGATATGGCGGTGTTTGACGTTTCGGGTAGAAGAGTTGTTAACAAAATGTTCATTTTACGTCGTAAGTCGACAGAAAATATACACAATGAAAAGAAGAAACTATGGAAACCATTACTATATCAAATTGAGAGAATTCAAGAAGCCTATGGAATATGTGCGTCTCATTAACGTCAGACTTCGGCGCTATCGGCAGCGGGACGGGAGCGCCGCTATTACGGGCCGCCGATTCACCCCCGCCGCGGCCCCACCAACAGAAAGCATCCCCCGCCATGACGTCCCCGCCGTCCACTCAACCCTGAACAGTCAATGAAACCTCTTAAAACAAGTCCATCACCAACAACTATTTTCACCAAGGGAAAGAAAAAAAGGTATCTCATTAATTCCGGCATCGCCTCAACATTCTTTCCCATCAAAGACCAGAACATGGCGACGTCAAGCATGCACTACGCCCACTGCGGCGCCAACGACGGCTGCAAGCTCGCCTTCCAGTCCTCCCTCCCCCTCACCGGCGCCGCCTCCGCCACGCGGTGCGTTCTCCTCATGCACGGCTTCAGCGGCTCGGCAGACTACTTCCACCGCAACGCCAATGTCCTCGCTTCCAAGGGTCTCTGGGTCGTCGCGCCGGACATGCGCGGTCACGGCAAATCGGACCGCACAAAGGGCGGCTACCACGTCGCGCGCCTGGCCGCCGACCTCCGCGACCTAGTCCACCACCTGACTCGCGCTGCCCCCGACGTCAAGATCGTGCCCGTAGGCTGCTCCATCGGCGCCGCGGTGCTGTGGACGTACGTCGAGCTGTTTGGGTGCGCGGATTTTGCGGGGTTCGTCTTTGTCGACCAGGCGCCGCTGCAGGACCGCTCGTCGTTTGACGGGTGGGACGAGAGCAAGGCGCACACGGGCTGCTACGACGAGGCGAGCATGCTGGGCGCGCAAAAGTTTTGGATCAACGAGTCGGCGGCGGCGCACGTGGATCTCGTGGACGGGTGCTTGGGGTACCGGGCGAAGCCCGATCCGGCCGACGATATCCCGGCCGAGGTGAGGAAGAAGGACGAGGAGTTTTTTACGGGCATCAGCGCGCTGTGCGACCAGGCGTGGCTTGCGAGGCTGCTGGCTGACCACACGCGGTACGACCACCGCGAGGCCATTGAGATGATTAGCGTGCCGACGCTGGTCATGGCGGGGCGCAAGTCGGGTTGCTTCCCGCTCGAGGGTATGCTCGAGACGGTCAGGAGGGTGGACAAGAACCGGCCCGGTCTGGCGAAGTCATCCGTCTTCGAGTCTGGCCATTGGTTGTTTTATGAGCAGCCGGAGAGGTTCAATAAGGAGATTGCGGAATTTGTGGACCAGTGCACGAAATGAGTTGGTTCAGAAGGGAAACTGGGAGATGGCTGGATGCAGCATGTGCTGGTCTGATTCGCCTTGGCTGAGTGGTCGAAAACACATGGAAGTGGATTTATACGTCTACATATATGCGAATGAGATTAAATAATACCAAAATCTAACGATGAAATATCCTCCTCATATCGCCTCGTCCATTTGTTGCCGCTATTCACATATGCCCAGTCTATATAAAGTGCGAGTGAGATTAAAGATTAACCAAATCATACTAGCAATGTCTTCCTCTGCCATTCCCGCCCCGTATTGTCCGTAATTCAATGCAATCAGCCATTCTTTCAAAGCAGCCCTCCGATATTGGCGTCAAACGTCGTCCGAAATGCTGAGAAGCTGGACATCAGCACACCCAAGGAGGGTCCTCTGTCCAGCTTCCTTGAAGCTCAACGCAACACTGCCGTTCCTAGGACATGCCATCCAGAACCCGTCCTGGAACTGCAGACTTCCGTCAGCGACGGTGACACCAGATGTCGCAGCCTGGCACTGCAACTGGACAGTGTTTAAGCTGGGCACCGTAGCCGTTCCGCCAGGTGTGACGATCAGTCCAGCCGCGGAAGAGGCCTCGTCACCAGAGAAGTGAGCGACGTCGACGGTGCTGCCAGTGGTGTAGAATTCAGCGCCCTGGCCGGCCGGCACGAATATGGCGTTGGCTTCACAGTCGGCATTGGGGGTGTAGGAGAGCTCTTGGCCCTGGATGGAGGGTGTGAGGTCAAAGTTGGTCACGTTTGCCGCGAGGCGAAAGGTGGGTATTGTGGTTTGTCTGACTGGAAGACTGGCCGCTGTTGCCACTGCGGCGAGTAGGATGGTCTTGACGAGGGCCTGGGTGAACATGTTGATTTAGTTGTTGATGGAGGCAAGAAGTTGTGATTGATTATGTTCCGTAGTTTGTTGGTCTTGTGTGTGAGGATGAAAAAGTTTGGAATCTCCTCTCACGGCAACTACCTTTGGTTTATATAAGAAAATGGCCTTCGATCATCTCTCATTGTTTTCTGATGCAACGTTTCTCATCGTGGCGGTACTGAACTAGTCGAACCCCATGACACACTCCCTTCCCTTCTTCACCTCGGATCCTTTCAGAGATTCTATTTACGTGATTTATGTCATACGCCGTCGCTAGAGCAGTGCTTCTTAGCTCTGCGCTGATCTTTGGGGCTTGGCGATCCTAGTGCTTAGGGACATGGCTGCCGGCGATCCGCGTGAGACGGGATCACCACCGGGACCCACTCTCCCGCTCGCTCCGAGCGCGGGGTACCGGCCCTCCAACTATAGAGACGGACTCGAGTCGAGGTTTTCACTCAAGGAAACAATTCCTCTCATCATCATCCCTGGTATTTGCGTCAAGATTTACTTCTTGGTCACTGCTTCCCAGCAAATGTAGTTTCATCTGAACAAGCCACATTATCCCGGATGGTCGATCTTGGTCGCAAGTACTTCTTTCCCCTTGTTTCCCATCAGGCTCCCATTAAAATCCCCAGAAATCTGTCGAGACGCGATGCCTCGTATTATCAACCCGGCAGGTGAGACACAATCTTGACGCGGTGGCGCAAACGAACGTCCTTTGTGACCGAAAAGCTAACATAGACGAAGCATGGTAAGGAAGGCAACACGAGAATACTACTACTCGCCGGCAGACCGTCGTGCTGACAAGTGCCACCAGCAATACTTGCCGCGTTCGCAAGGTCAAATGCAAGCAAATTTTCACCACCATAAGATACCTTCTGGCTAATACGAGGCTAGGTGACGAAGCCTTGCCCACATGTCAACGTTGTCGCAAGGCTCAGCGATACTGTGACCGCACCATCCCGCTCCCACAGTTGAACAACAGCAAGAGCCAGGGAGACACAGCAAAACCTGACACCGCCAGTTAGTAGCCTCGACTCTCACCTCACTCTCCTAACCTCTTTGAACGTTGAACCACTCACATACTACTTACCCATAGCAAACGAGCCACAAAGTCCCTTCCCATCCCCATCCAACCCCCGCAAAGCCCTCCAGAACCCGTCCATAGCGCGTTACTTTTCTCACTACATCGCCGACATCGCCCCGTGGTACGACCTCGGCGACGCGTCCCTGGCCTTCGCCACCAGCCTCCCCGAAGCCGCCCTCGAGAGCCCGCTGCCCTTCGCCGCCATTGTGGCCCTGTCCGCGGTGCACACGAGCCGCACGACCGCGCCCTCCGCCAAGGCTGTGGCGGAGTTCTACCACGGCCACTGCGTCCGCTTGCTGATCGACCTGACAGCGGGGAAAAACGACGACGAGCACTCGAAGGGGCTGGCGCTGGCTTCTGTCTGTCTTTTGCGGTCGTATGAGATTTTGAGTGGTGAGCTTGCGTTCCCTATGTTGCCATTTTCTTCTCTCTTTCCATGAGCCTTACGACCCACGCACCCCCGACGTGGGATGTCACGGATACTAAGAACAGAACAGAAGAGGTCGACCCAAACAGACACCTTCAAGGAGCATATTCCCTGGCAGCCTACAACACCCCTCAAACCGACGACTTCGGGTCCGGCCTCCGAGCAGCAGGCTTCTGGAACTACCTTCGCGAGGACATCACTTTTAGCTTGTTCCGAAGATGCCCCCTCAAGATAAACCTTGCCCAGGTGCCTGTAGCCCTGCCGACGACTGGTCAAGGAACCGACCAGGACCGCCTCAACGTCGCCACTCTCATTCTCGGCCGCATCATCAACGCATGCTTCGTGGCCTCGGAATCGGTTACAGGCGACTCGTGGTCGTGTTTGCTCCAGATGTTGCGTGAATGGCGTGGAACTATACCAACGCGTTTCGAACCCTTCTCCACGCTTGACCGCGGCCTCGGCCTCGCTTTGCCTTCCATCTGGCTGCTGAGAGATTATCACGGTAGGGTTTGTCTCTCTATAGCTTTTCCTGCTTGGCAATCTAGTAATCAAGGAGGGGGGGCATAAGCTGCGGCATTACACTATCAACTCGTCGCCACGGCGATACTCTGCATTCACGCAACCCCGGATCAACTACAAAATCTTCAAAGTATACTAGACGACCGTCTCGGCGATAAAGATACGAAGGATGACATCCTGGAGCTCCTTGCCCTCAAGGTCTGCGGCGTGGCCTTCACCGCCAACTTGCCCTCGGTACAAGTCAACGCCTTTGGTCCCATCGCATTCTGTAAGTCTCCCACATAAATCTTTGCTCCATCTTGTCAGTGTTTTTTTTTTTCTCGAAATTCTTAGACATCTAAACAGGCTCGCGATTCATCCGCACAGAAGCCTCGAGACAGGAGCTGATCCGCCGCCTCTGGGCGTGCAAAGGGACGATCGGTTGGCCAGTCCAGAGACTCGTCTCGGACCTGGAGGCGGAGTGGAGGGGACCGCCCCCAACGCGCGCACCAACAGAAGACGACGAATGAGGAGGCGCATGATGGAAGCTATTGCTGCTGTCAGTTAGCGTACCCCGAGCTCGGGTTTGGAGAAAATCTGGGGAAAGTTTAGGGGTGTGGGTGCACGTTGTCATTCAAACCCGAGCTCGGAATTGGGGTGGGAGACGTCTCAACCTCCTCACTCCGGGATATATAAATACATGAGAATCTAGTCTTGCACCTTTCATCAATATCATAAACCGTCTCTTCCCCTAACATTCATCCAAACTAAAACATGAGAGTCATCTCATCCTCGACAATGCTCCTTCCTCGTCCACACTTCCCATTCCCTCCCTCTTCAAGCCCTCTTCATCTTCGTAAGCCCCTCCTCACCCGCCGATCCATGGCCTCACTTACACCCAAACACCACGACGACGAAAACCTCCCAACAACGCCAGCAACAATACACCCCTCACACTCCGAACTCCGCAACGCCCGCCTCTCCCCGCGAAACCTCGAGCTCGCCGTTCGCCACCTTCACAGAGACGGCCTCATCGTCGTACGAGACGTCGTCCCGCACGCCAACCTCGACGCACTCAACTCCAAAATGGTCCAGGATGCGCTGTACCTCCGATCCCTGGGCGACAAGGGGCCCTTCAACTATAACCAGGGAAATCTACAACAAGATCCGCCCCCCGTGGCTGAGTACTTTTACAAGTCAATCTTTACTAGTTAAGTTCATCCTCTCCTCCCCCCCTCCCGTCTCACATGACCATAATGCTCTCCTCATCCGCCTATACCTACTCACAAACACAACAACTAGATCCCATAGCGACGCAAATCACCTCCTCCATCCTAGGCCCCCGTCCAAAATGGACCTTCTGCTCCGCAAACTCCGCCATGCCGCCCCCCGACACCCTCGCGTCCAAACCGCAACGCCAACCCGTCCACTCGGACGCAGACTTCGCGCACCCATCCCACCCCTTTGCCCTCGTAATCAACGTCCCTCTCGTAACAATGACTCCCTCCAACGGCTCAACGGAGCTCTGGCTCGGCACCCACGGCCCCTCCCTCCCCTCATCCTCCGGCGCCATTCCCTCCGGCGTCGCAGCCCAAGAAGGCATCCACGGTGACCGCGCAAGCGGCAAAATCAAACCACACCTCCTCGACCTCCGTCGGACCGTCCGCGGGCCCTCGCAGCCGACAGTGGAAAAGGGGAGCATCATCATCAGGGACCTGCGTCTCTGGCACGCCGGCATGCCCAACCTGACGCCCGACGTGCGTGTCATGCTCGCCATGATTCACTTCGCGGGCTGGTACCGCAACCCGATGCGGTTGCAGTTTGCGGAGGACGTGAGACCTTTACTCGAGGGGTCAGATTTGGAGACGGATAACAACAGCCTCGAGATACCCGTCGACTGGACGAGTCGGGACGAGGCCTTTCGTTCCTATCTGGGTCGGGGGTTCGGGAATAGCTATGACTTTGATCAGGAGAAGTGAGTATGTGGCTCCGTGGATGTATTTGGGAGCGGAGGCTAGATCAGATGCTTAAGTTAATTCAAGATTACGCATGCCGAGTCAGTTGTCTGAAGATGGAGCATGACCATGGTTCCTCGGATCAGGTCTTCCTTCAGGTGTCGATATCCTCATGAGTCTACAAGTGACATGCAATACATTTAGAAGATTCATTTGACTGCTAAGTGTAAGCTACTAACCACTACTGCACGCTTTTCCCCTTTCCGCTCTGTTCTCACCTCCACCTGAGAGGTATCCATTCTGAATAGCAATAGTATCATGATAATCGAAGACAACAACAGAAAAAAGCCCACAAATGCAGGTCTCTCACGACCGTTTGATGAGGCGAGCCGCCATCGGTGTGCGAGCGAGTTAATACGAAAAAGGGTTTGAGAGCAAAAAAACAAAGGAAACATGGTATAGTAGTCCCCCCTCATCCCATGGCGAAGTCTCCGTAGGCGATGAAGGAAACCGAGCTGGCTTTTTCGCGCCCAAAAGACGAAAAAAGAAAAAGGTAATTAATCGGAAACGGTTGAGAGGGGGTATAATAGGAAAGACCCGTTTTCCGCCGAACCTCGCTTCCTTTTGTCGCGGGAAGAAACAAAGGAAATCCCAAATCCTTCATCCGATGAACTCAGTACCGAAAGAGAGCGATTTGTTGAGACTCAGCGTCCAGGAGACGTCCCATAATCTGGTCAATCATCGCTTAGCGGACGCCAACCCATGTCGTGGCCGCCTAGAAGAAACTCGGCTTCGTGAGCACGCGATACTCGACATAATCCTCTCCGTCAATACTGATAATGGTGCCTTGTGAGACGAGTTTGCCGACAAAGGGACCGTTGGTTTTGCGTTCGTATTTTATACCACCATAGAACTTGGTCTCTTCACCTCCAACCTTGCTGCGGTGCTCTTCCTGGCTGGCCCAAACCTTGTTCAGGCGCTGCATCTCGTCGCGCTCGTGGAAAAGGCTACTCATGCGAGGACCGTTGCCGTTGCCGTTCTGCAGAGGCATCTTAGACATAGCTTGTGGCGGCATCGGAGGAGGTACCAAGTTGGCCATCTGGGCGGCTTGAGCGGCTTGAGCAGCCTGGGCATTCTGAGCAGCTTCGCGGTCAGCGGCGAAACGCTCGGACCGAATTTGTGCGGCCTCGATTCGGGCGATCTCGCGACGTGCGCTGGCGTCGATCTTGTTTTGGGCCTGCACCGGGGTTCGCGATGATTGCCTGAGTTCGAGGTCGGGCAGCGAGTGCCGAATGCCGCGGTTCTCCGTCCTGCGGCTCTGACGCAGTTCGGGGTTAACCTCGACTTTGGTCTCGGGTGTGTCGATAATCTCCTCCGGCTGAGGAACAATGGCAGGGGGCGGGCCCATGTTGTTCATGTAACCAGGCTTGTTGAGACCATGTGCAACGCGCTGCTGGGCCTCGAACACTGCCCTGGCTTCGTTGTCGGCTCGCTCATTGGGGCTTTCTCCCTGATCGATTTGGTATTGACGGACACGGCAGTATTCCTTGACCTCGGTGCGAGACAGGTTTTTAATGTGAGGCTCCAGTTCGACCTCTTCCCAGTGAATCCACAACGCACCCGCTCCAACGGGGAAGTTGCCGTCCACGAATCGCTTGTCACGTGTCTCTCGCGCCACCTTGACTCGAAACATATCATTTTGGCCCAGGATGCCGTAGATTGCGTGCCGGTTCATAGGCTCAGGTTCACTGGAGCCCTTCCAATAGCCCACGACGATGCGCGTGGGTCTGGTACCTGGCAGAGGGTCGAATTGAGGGGTCATGACGATATCTCGTGCTGGCGGCGTCTGCTGGACTGGTCCTCCGCTAATCGTGCCGATGCCACTACCAGTGCGGCGACGTTTGGAGTCCGGCCGGGACGGCATTGTGGCGTAGTCAGGAATCTCAGCACCGTATGCGATGGCAGGAGCTACGACGTTCTCGGGGGGAGGGTTTTCCTCGACGCGTCGAACTGCTTCCTTAGCCGCAGCTTGCTCTGCAGCATCACGGGCCTCCTCCGTCACCTCAATAGAATCCGTTCGAAGCTTGACATATTCCTTGACTTGATGGTGGTCCAAACCAACCAGGTGATCGGCGAATACGACACGCTCGAAAGTCACCCAGCTGCCACCAGGTCCGGGCGGGAGGGGATACTCAAGACTCGATACCGGCTCGCCGAAGCGCGTGTTTTGCTGAATGCGAGTGCGAAGGCGATCCCGGACATCGATGAAGCCGATCACGGCATGCTTGCCTCTAGGGTCGGGAACGGGCGAATCGCGCCAATAACCGAGAATGACGCCCTTTACACCACCCAGCCCATGCCTACGGGCTGGCTTGGTGCTGCGCGGTGTACCCTCCTTCTCTGAGACAAGGCTGCTCTCCATCTTGTCTTCGCTCAAGTCGTTGAAGACAGACGCACGCTTCCGCTTAGGGTAGTGGGAGACAATCGGCTCATCTTCGGCATCCGCCATGTTCTCATCCTCCGGATCAGAAACAACGCGGAGCGGTGACGACTTGTGCGCACCATTGCGATTACCGACAACGATCTCATCTTCCAAAGCGCGATCATGGCTGCCTGATACAGGGCTCAAATTCTCAGGAGGCGGGCTTAGATCGTCATCATTGGCGGTGTCATCGTCATCCAGAGCTGGTGGCTTGACGCCATTGGTGCTGCTAAGCCTGCAATTGGCATTAGTATATGCTCGTACCTAATTGAGTTTGTTGCCCTCCAAAACATGTCGAACCGTTGTCGAAATGGGTGCGCTTGCAACCCTGTTGAAGTTCTTGGCAACCAAGTCGGTGGCACTCGCCCCTGGTGGTTGGACCTGAGAAGGCCCGGTCCAATGGTAAGAAGGAGAAAGAGGAAAAAGATTGGCTGGCAAGGAAGCAGTTGCGCAAGACCAAAAACGGCAAACGGCTCGAGTTGAGCAAGGGTAAGAAGCCATGGGGTATCCAAAGCGGATGGTGTACATGAATCGGGCACATCGGTCCCTGACTCGACATGGGCCTTTTGGCAACTCGCCAGTTGCACTCTTGTCCAAAACGAGCAAACCAGGCGTATGAATTGAATTTTGTCAATTGCCAAGATAACATTGGAAGCCTGACTTGCAAAAAGGAAAAAGTCAAGAACCAGAAAGCTCAAATCAAAATTCGAATGTTTCAACGAAATGCGACGCACCTTTCCTCCTTAATAGGGACAGAGGGCTCTTCGGTGGTGGTGCCCTTAACGCGGGAATCTCGTCGGAATGGCATTCTGAGAGGGTCGCAGGAGGGTAAGAACAAAGACAGAATAGTTGCGGCGCACAGTCAACGAAACCAATGCTCAACAAGGCTGTGTAAACTGGAGATTTGACAGACAGTTTACAATTGTGATGGGGCACAAGAATTGGAGAAGGGTGTGCTCTGGTTGATTGATGGGAAGAGAGGTGTGGTTGAATCAAGGGAGGGGTCGGAGCTGGTTGAAGAGGGATGGGATGACGAGAGGGAACTTTGGCGGTCTAGCGTGGTGGCCGAAGCTAGAAGCGCCGTCAGATGCAGAGAGGGCGGAAGGAAAGGAGTTGCCGTGCGGCCACGACACTGGGAAGGTAGTTGGTGCGGACTACCAAGCAGAGAGTGAAGCAGGAAGGTGACGATGGATCGCGGCCAGGTGCGACCCAGTGTATGACTTCACCACTGGTCATAGCGCGCGCGTCTCTCTTCAACATGAACAATCAATTATAGAAGGAAGAACCAAGTTACAACTAAGATGCAACCAACAAGACAGAACAGCGGTTGGAAAGAGACAAAGATACAACTTACTCTGTGGTCGTAGGGGTCTCGGCAACTGGGGTTTGTTGCTGGGGCTCTGATGGCGCAACTGAAGGCTGCTTGGTTTCAACCTCGGTGGTGGTCTCCATCGCGGTTGGTCTTTCGTGGGTTGTGTAGCGATCGGCTTCAGGTGAGTTTAGCAGGTTTTCTGGCGGTAATCTCGATGCGGTCGCAACAAATCGAGTGAACTCCCGGGTTGTCGGAAATGAAGCGACAAACACTCGCGGTTCAGCCTGGCTCTTTGGATAAGGAAAAAGAATGATGGACTTGACCGGTAATTTTGCGGGTTAGGCGTTGTTGGATGAAAATACGTTGGGACGTGTGGTTGTAAGAAGACAAGAGCTAAGGGGGGAACGGTGGTTTAGGTGAATGACGGCTCCAAATCATCGGAGGACGCGGTTCGTGTTTGAGGCCAAGATTGAATGTGACCGGGGAAGGTGGAGACGGAAGGTGTAGAGGAAGGTGTGTGTCAGGGGGGAAGGGGAAAGGTGAGGTGAGGTAAGAACGAGAGAGTGTGAATAAGTGTGTGAGGTGAGAGGTGGACAAAGTATTGGATTCCACAGCTTCACCGTCTGGCCGTATTATGTTCAGTTTAGACTTGAGGAAAATAAAATAAAATAAATAAGAAGAGCCAAGCCAAATGAGGCGATAGTCCCAGTCACCAGTCGTCAGCACCCCAGTCGGATTTCTAGTCCAAGCAGGGTGTGTCGAGATTGAGAGGTGGGTGGTAAAGGGTAGAAAGCCAAGGTGAATGGAACCTCAGGCTTCTGTCCCAGAGCACGGACGCTGACAGTCGAATGGCGCGGGAAACAGGATTCAGCGCGCCTTAAACGAGATGAAGGCGTCTTTAGCGGAGAGAACTGCTGCGGTTGATGGATGGAAGCACCAGTTTTGGATGTGTGAGTCCATCAAGTAGGAGTTGACGGGACTGGGTTATTGAGGTGTATGTGAGTGAGGAAGAGAAAGAGGAAGAGTTGGAAATAGACCCAAAGGAGGACCGTGTGTGGGATGATGTAAAAGTCGGGCACAGCGTGCAGCAAGGCAAGGAAGTGTAAATCGAGCAAGTACTGTTGTGGCCTGGCCGCGTCGGAGCCTGGGTTATTGACGTGTTGTTTGTAAAGTTGGGGGGGCGTGTTAGGAGCAAAAAAGGATGGGAACTTTGGAGGGAAATGGAAGGGGGTAGGGGGAGCAGAAGGCAAGGAAACAAAGCGATTGGTATGGGAATCGGCTGTGAACTTGGAGGGGGGGGAATCAGTTCACTATGGTAGGGCCGAGAAAGTTTTACTGAACAAATGAGAGGAATTTTCTGCCAGTGGGCGAGTGAGTGGCCATGGATGGAGGGGGGAGGAGGATAAGAGCGAGAAATACAGAGACACAGGTTTTAGTTTGTCCCCAAGGGAGAAGAGGCCAACCAGAGTTGCGACTGAGATTTTTTGGTTTCGGGGGTGGTTCCAGTTTATTGGGTGAGTTCTAGCTCCCATCAAGCAGGAGGTCAAGCAGGAGGTGAAAGACAGGAAAGAGCAAGAGAGAGAAGGGTATCCGTACCTTGATCCAAGTGGCCCGTGGCTCATGTCGTCTGTCGGCACACATTGTAGGAACTCCAATGATACATCCAATGCTCCGTAATGGAGACGGACGGATGAGGAAAGGTAAGGTGGTCATCGCCCTATCGAGTCAGGACAGCACGGCTATGCACCAAGCAATTTGCATCAATAGTACCTTTCCTAGGCCCGGCCAGCTGGATTGCGCGTTCCACTTTGCTATTCCCTACTCCTCCTCCTCCACCGCCGCCCTAACATCCGTCTCCAGCTTCCACCACTGCCCAGGCCATATTCGACTTGCGCGTGCCCAGATCGCACCAGATCAGATGGGCCAAACACCTCGCCATTCTTGCGAGTCGTCACCTAAACAGATTGTGGAGGATATCCCAACGACTTATACAGTGGAAGTTACCATCTGGGCTCGTGCTGTACGACCGTCTCGGACTCTTCTACCCAGGGCGCACCTCCTTCGGGTCGCGCATCTTCAAATGATAGGGTCTAGTCGCTCTGGATCAGAGTGGTAACGAAGTAGTGTACAGCCAAGCTGTGACCACGGCTTCGTGTAAATCCCTATCAATCCCAGTCGCAGTTGTGACCAGAGTTTCGATGACTGGCTGACTTGGGGTTTTGAGCGGGGCTTGGAAAGGGGGGGCAACCACCCAATTTGATTGACGCCTCGCCGGTGTATCTGTAAGTTGATTGACTGTTTGACAGTTGCACCGGCAAATGTGAGATAAAACCCTGGAATCCCAGTGGTACCGTATCCGTAGCGGAGCCCCGCCGCGCGCTGCGCGCAAAAGCCTCTCACCAATGTACCCTACCTTGAGCGTTTGGCATGTCGCATGGTCCAAGTTGGTATAATGAAAAGGTACAGCCGTTCCATGTATATCCTCAGATTACGTCTGTCTTACTGCCTGGGCATGGTCACGGTTTGGATTGGCTTGGCTGGGTTGGGTCCGCTTCCAGTCTGCCAACCTAAATTGAATGCCATTGGCTTTTGCTCAAAGTTCACTATATGACTACTGTATCCGTACTTGGTAAGTGCCTCGCGAGTCTCTGTCGTCATGTACCTACAAATTGGTGTTTATCTTTGAGCAAATGCCCCTTACCCCTCTCAACATTTTGACCTTGCACCATCAGGCTCATGCATTGGCATCGGTACTCGTTATCGGGGTCAGGCCTCTGGCCTCTGGCATGGTGCAACTCATCTGAGAGGATATCATTAAGTCCATGTATTATAACACACAAAGTACTTGGCAAAAAGTACTGTACTGATTCACATTATCAACAACCCAGGCTAGCACAAACTAAGACAACCTGGACGCCAGCCAACTGCCACCAAGCGCATTTCTTGCCTTGTATCCGCATCATATCGGCCCACCCCTGTCTTGAGTTTAGTTCACTACTTGTTCCTTCTGTTCTGTCCTGAGGCCCGGTGGGAAAGTCCGGCCAAGCAGTCGCAAGTCGCAAGTCGCAAGCAATCGCCATGCGACACGACACTCAAGAGCGCGTACAACCGATGGCAACTATGCCCGATCAGCAGGTCAGTCGCGGCAACTCCAGCCGTTGTCTGTTTGAATCTCCTGCAAACACGATGATCCGCTGACCTGAGGCAATCGGCTGGCTTGTATGTCTATCTTTGTCATTCCTTCTCTGATCGTCCCTCACCACCATTCGCGATCGCCCACGCGTCCGCATTCAGGTTACACCAGTTTCGGCTTTGGGTTCATGAGACAATTACTTGTGCCTCGGCTACCTTTGCCGTTATCAACAGAAGGAATCGCTTATGCCATACAAGAGGTAAATTCGACCATCCTCTTCCTCAATTCCCGACATGAACGTGGGACTTTGGTGTTGCGATGACGAGTCCACCTTGATCGGGTGGCCGGCTCCACGCATCCTTGGAACAGCGTGTAAAGCCGTGGCACTGATATAAGAATGTTATTGCTGCAGTGGTGGATCTATGGCTTGACACTGCATCAGCGCATCAGATCGCATCATCCCGGGCGGTTCTTGGTCTCTGCGTCAAGCATCACGCCGTGCCTCTTCTCCGCGCGCCGCCTATTCTCAACCTTGTGAATAGGAGCCGGCGCATTGCTAATGTTTATGTCATGCCAACTGACACGACCAAGGGCCACGATACTTTACGCAAACCGACTATCTTTGATTTGTCTGTCGCAACTCGCTTATCCCGTCGGGCACACATGTGACCTCCAACGCATTCAAAACAGTGCAAACAAAAAGGGGCCAGAGCCAGGACACCCCCTTGTCCCCTTCCAAGGAGCGCTGTCAGCAAACGACGGATCTACAATTCGTCAACTCGAAACGCAGCGAGCTACCCTATCTAGGAACTCCCGAAACTGGGGCGTGGATCATAATGGGCCACCTCTCGGGTGAGCTCGCACCTGTTGCCGGGCCCGGCTGGCCCCGTGCCATTGTTCTCTCGAAGTTATGCGGCGGCGCACCGGCGATTCCCACCAGCTGGGTGGCATGGATGTCGGATACCGCATTCCGCCTCGCCGCCAAGATTAAATGTTCCATCCTGAACTATTCATAATCACGACCTCGGTCATTCATGGTGCCCTTTTTTTTTTTGCGTGAACCCCCGAGTTTTCCCCACTAGCCGGACAACGCGGCAACCGGAGTTGATGCACTTTCAAGTTTTGACTCTTGCGCCGGCAAAAGTATGCTACAGGCAGTTGGTCCACCCACAACCACCAGAGAAGAAAGCGTGCTCGGTATGTTTCATCGATGGTGACAATGGCTCGCTGCGGTTATGTAGGTTTCAGAGTCGCTGCTTTACGCTTACTTGCTATTTCCTTCTTTAGGGCAATCGCACGCGTTGCTCACAGCACACCGGAACTACTGTCTCATTCGGCTGTGGGACCCACTAGTTCTGTGGTATGGGTACTTGGTCCTCAATTTCACCTCTGAAACTCAACAATTGCACATGGCAACATGGCCGAGTGGTCCAAGGCGATAGACTTGAATTGATCCTTCAATCGTTATCTATTATCTTCGGATGCGCAGGTTCGAACCCTGCTGTTGTCGCACTTTCTTTGGCATTTAATGCTAGTAACGCTTCCTTTTTGGCAGAGTCGCCGTTGCAATGCTCCTTTTCTTCATTTCATTTCTCTACCACGTGCATCATGCTGTACGGTCACCGCAGGAGAGTTTGCGACAATTTCCGCGGCGACCGCGGCGACCTCGGTGGCCTCGGTGGCCTCGGTGGCCTCGGTGGCCTGGCTGGGAGTCTCTCCGGGTTGAGAACTAGGTATGTTAACCAACCACCAACACGAACAAGGCAACTGACATGCGGGTAAATGATGAGATTGGTCTCTTTCATCACCTCATCGCCATCATCCCCAGGTCCTCCTCGCTAGCACAACACCTCGATAGCCAGGTGGTATTGATTTTGGCCGCAGAACTTCGCCGCACACGCTTTCCATCTATACGGGAGGTGGCAATGGATAGAGCATCTATTCGTAAGGCAGGCGAACCGTACCCGGCAGGTCCATCGGTTTGATCACCTCCTCAGTGCTGCTTCCCATGGAGCTCACTCGCAAATGCCGCATTTGCAAGCACTCGATACTTGCGACAACCAACAACGACAACGACCAGTCATTTGAACTTTGAACACTGAGCTGCCACCCAATGAAACTCAGAAACAGTGCTGTACTGGTCTGCGCAGTCGCCGTGGTCACGTCAACAGGGATGGGAGGGGCCTCCAGTCCTTTGGTGTTTCCCCTTCGCTTACCCTGATCTCCATACAGCAACTCAACCAACCACGGCCGACTCGCCCCCAGGTGACGCATCAGCGTATCTTTTTACCGCAATGACTTATTGAACCACGGGATTTTGGTCAATCTCGTCAAGTTACCATCAGTGGCCTATGATGTTTTCAACATGTGGAAGACGAGAGGGCTCCATCGTCCCGGATTCACAACACTTCACTCAATCTAGGCTGAAGCCGGAACTTGCTCTCGCCAGATACCCCTTGATAGCGTTCCGCAACCTAAACCAAAATGGATGGATGGCCTTTGCGTGCCTCACGACCCACCCCCCCTGCCCTGCGTTCAACCTTTCTCTTCCTCCCTTCCATCGCGCCCTCATTTTTTCCCCCATGTGATTATTCTATATCCGCACCGTAAAGCTATTGAGACTTTGGAAAAGACCCCCTCCCCACACTCCTCCAGATAAAGCTCCAGCCGGCGCTGACCAACTTCTCGCCGAATAAGCCGCCCGCTAGCTGCTGCTGTCATGACTTTCGTACGGCAGCCTTCATGATTCGCAACTCTCTGCATTCTGAAGGCCCATGCAACTAGGTTAAAAGCATCAGTGACGCTTTTCGCGTCAGTTCTCAAGAAGGGCAGGTTCCTGGTATGCGGTCTTTGCAGCCATAGCTCTACCAGCAGGTGCCGACGACAGTACATCCTTTACCGTGAAGTAAGTCGATGGTAGTAAGGAATCAAAGAATAGCGTACTATGACCTGCTCCCGACGACGGAGACGACGAGGACTTTCTGCATTATCATGTCTGATGCGAACTGCCATTCATGCAACATCATTGTCGCCCCCTCTCTAAAAAAAAAAAAAAAAAAAAAGGGAGGGGGGGACAAGGCGGCATTTACGATGGAGATTCCGCGGCCGTTGTTTTTTTTAGGGTAAGTTTCAATCCGTTAGAGTTTTGTTGACTAGACAATTTCTGGGAATGCGAAAGAATACCTACTATATACAAATACGACAGTGTAGGTAGGTTACGGCATGCCCTAGTGTAGAATAAGTTAAGATTAACTCGAGTACGAGCATTGAGTGCGAGCGTTAAGTCCTTAGTCCCTAAGCATGACTCATTTCAGCGAGGTCTTGCTTAGTGGACACACGTCTCACTCTTTGCATTAATGGGCAATGTCAGACTTTTTACTTTTACGTTGTATTACTACGTAGAAAGAATGGGTAAGGGGGTGGGAGAAATGGAAGTCTATGTTGTGGATTCTGGAGTTTTGTAGAGCCGTTATCAGCATAGCTTCTACAGCAGGTGCGAGGGGTTTGGGGTTTCCATGACATACTCCAAGGTTTGATGAGACTGGGGCAGTCTAGGACTCTCCAAGAGTGGAACTCGGCAATAACGTCCTTTCAATTCATCTTTAACCGGTAAGGCTGTGCTGATGGGGGGGGTTAATCTATCAGCTACTGGCGGCGTATCATTTCGAACCGCGAGGCTTTCCCAGTTGTACGCCTTTCTATAAATGTCACGATAGTCTTTGGGTATCCATCCCGTAGAGTTCGTCCGCCCGCCTCACGAATCTACATACTTCCCAACCTTGCCGCAACACCAATTTTGGGTTTGGTCAGCAATCAGTCACCGACCCCGGCCTCGTCCTCTGCCTCCTCCCCTCCCGCGCCCACCCCTCCCACCCCTCTTCCCGCCGCGGAACCCGCCCCGGTTGTCGAACCTCTCGTAGAGCCTCTCCTCACCAAACGCTGCCTGCCCGAACCTCATGAAATTCACCAAGCCTCGGTCCACGACGGCGATGAGGACGTTACGGTACCCGTGCCTCAGCCGTTGGTAGAGCCTCCCCGGCCCGCCCATCGAGACCGGGTTGGGCGCGTCATAAGGCGTCGAGTCCAGCAGTGCCGAAATCTCTTCGATGCCCGGGATCGCATCGTCCCGCGCGTCAGCGACGGCGATGCGGATGTCGGGTGGAGGGAGGTCCGTCACGCGGAGGTTGGGGTGCTTCGATGGCTTCCAGACGTGCCAGTGGATCTTGTACGGGTCCTCGGCCTGTTTGGGCTCCTGCGGCGCGGGCGACGGCTGGTAGCGGGACAGTAACTCGAGGCGTTTGTAGACGAAACTGTATTGCCTGTAGACGCCCGGCTTGACTAGAGGTCCGTAGGGCGGTGTTGCGGGCGACGCCGCCGGTCTCTGGAGGAGGGAGACGAGCCATTGCCACAGTGATTTCCGCGGTACTTTGGGCGTGGATATGGAATCTGCAGGTTCTGGTGGCGCGCGTTGGACGTAGTATCCCAATCGTCTGAGATGTGAGTAGACTTGGTATTTCGGGAGTGAGATCTTGCCCCGTTCGCCGTCCAGGCCGATGAAGAACGAGTAGGCGGCTTGTAAACTCAAGGGCACGCCGGCGTCGAACTCGTCATCGAAATGCACGTCTCCAGGAACCGTCTGCTCTTCGGCGAGCTTCGCCTCCGGCGGCGGCAGAATCTCCCTGAGCTCGCGGTACGGCCACCAGAGCTCCAAGCTGCCCCTCTCAACGAGAAACAGCGCCTCCTCGGGCAACAGCCACAGCTTTCCCACCGCTGGTCTCGGTGCCTTGAGTCCTCGAATCACCCTGCCCATGGACCTGGCCTGCGGACCCTTCAGCTCCTCCACGACCAATACCCTCTCCTTGGCGTATATCGGTCTTGTCTCGGTCATGAACTCGTGTAGGTACTCGGGCTTCGCCAGCCCGGACGTGTCCCCTTCCTCAATGGCCTCCAGCGCCTCGGTCCAGTAGTCCGGGAAGTACCAGCCCTTGCTCCAAGTGTCCCTGTGCACTCTCGTGTAGCCAAGCACCTCCTCGATGACCTGCCTGCTCATCTCCAGCGCGTTCTCCTGGGCCTTTGTGCCATGCGATTCAAAATCTTTTTGGCCCTTGCGGACGGCCTGCGAGGCGACGCCCTTCTTGTTGAACATGGACGCAAAGAGGCGCATGTCGAAGAGGCCCTCGTCCTCGGCTTCATCACCGGCGCCCGAGTCGTTATTGAGCTGGGCCGCGACCGGCGCCGCGGTGGGATTATCGTCGTCGTCGAGGGGCATTTTTTTGGCGGGCGCTTCGGGTTTTTTGGAGACTTCCAGAGGCTGTGTTTTTTGGCGTCGGAGGTTTAATCGATCGGTTCCAATTTTGGGTCTACGGTCGGTGGTGTGTCAACTGGCGTTGCATATCGGGTGGTGTTGCAGTTAGGTAGAATGCGCCTTGGTGTGAGTCGTCGTCGGGAAAGCCCCTCCAATGTGGGGGGAAAATTGGGCAAAGCTGCCGTTGGAGCTTGTGAGCTTTGGCCAATTAGAGCTGTGTGCTGGGAAGTGCAGCTAGAAACAATCCAAAGCCGAAGGACTGGTCATGTATATACTTAGTACATGCCATCAATAGCGAGGATGGCCAAATAGAGATCAATCGCGTTGTACTTTGATTTTTTGTCCGCCGATGGAAATTATTTGGCATGGCGAGGATTTTTCTCGTTGAATAATCGTGCTGGATTTACCAATAAGCATGAAAGGTTCGTTTTCTGCTGATGAGGACGCCGCTGTAGAATGAAAGCTTGTCGGTATGAATTTCTGCATCAGTGCAAAGTCATTAGTATTCAAGAACCATTGGATGTCATGTTTCGAAGATTACTGATCAATCTCATCTGTCCACGGAAAGCTTACCTGTTCAGAATTGGTGAGTCGCAGGTAGGCCGCCTACCTGGGCCAGTTTAAGGTCTTGTCCAGGACCGTGGTAGGCGGTTACACCGTCGTCCCTCGACTGCTCTTGAGGACCCATCGATAAATTGAACATTTGTCCCGATCTGCATCTTGGCAGAGACTTTGAGCTCGATCGAGAGGGTCTTCTTCCCGCATCTGTCGATTGTCTCTGCGTTCATTTCGGAAGGCTTCGACTTCCAGATCTATTCGCCACTCTAGACAGGGAGCAAGCAACCCAAGTAAGCCCCCTAACGTCTGGAAAGGTACCCGCTAGGACGAATGGTCAGATTTAATGTACAGGTGAACAACGTCCGGACTAAAATGCAAGACTTACGCTGAGGTCATATTTCTTCTCCTGGTCATTCAGACCGCCCTGGTCTCCCCAAGGATTGTCAGAAGTGGCGCCGTTTCCACTGAAATCCTGAACGACTGTTAGCTGTGATGCAACTCGTCCGAGGCAATTTCAAATCAATACGTGCCTTTGACTCAGAGCCAGGAAGATCTCCCCAAGGGTCGGTCTTCTGCGTGGCTCCGTCAGTAACGCTGCCCATGGCGGCGTCGGCGTGGTTAGATCATCCAGGATCGACAGGATTGTTCTCCATTCTCGGCTCTCTGTGAGATGAACTTTTAGCTCCAAACGAAAGGTTTGTGAGTTGGGCAAGATGAGACTGCGGCGACGACCCGAGTCGAAGTAAAGGAAAACAGAATATGGCCGACCTGAAAGGCGTGAGTCCATCCAACCGAAGGAAGTCGCGCCTCGCGTGAAAGTGCGCTCGGATTAACTGCGAAATATCAGACTCACTTCAAATTTGCGATGATGAACAGAGTAGAACGGCGATGTTGTGATGCTTCTCGTGATATGAGGAGAGTGGGCAGGTTGAAGGTAGATTTGTGGAAAAGGAAGGTATGAGTAGCGGTCCAAATACACAGACATAACTTATTCTCAAGTTGGAGGTTTTTCTCAAGGAAGGAAGGAGAGGAAGAGGAGTGAGGGAGAGAAGGGGCAAAGGGGCAGGAGGTGCCGGGCAAGGCAAGAAAGACGAAGAGTGGGTCTAGAACATTCGATAACCTCACTATTGACTTGAAGATGCCTTGGATCACGTGGTGCAGACGTCCTCCGGTCTCGTAAGCGCCTACTTACGTACCTAGCTAAGGTATCTAATGCCTTAAATGCCTCAGGGAGTCATTGAACAGATACCCTACCTGGATGAAAGACGTCCTTTGGGTCTCACGTAAAATCGGCCTCATGAAGCTTCGTCATGGCTGAGAACTTCTGCATCAGATGGTCAATCTGGAATTGCTGCAATACAATTTTCGTTTCTTCTCCATATTACCAGAATTTCAATTGCTCACTTGGCTCATGGACTCTAGGTCAACCGGAAAACATTCCTGACTTTGTGGTTTCTCCCAGGTACCTAATTCAGTTATATCTAGAAAGCCTGGCAAGAAACAAGTAAGCTAGCTCCCACTCACATTTACCAAACTCGTCAAATAATCCACTATTAGTGCATCCACTGCCTTTTCCTTCCAGAATACATTCCTACGACATGATAAATGAAGAAATAAGCGAATAATGTGGCCGATATACCACTTTGAACGAGTGCAATGACTTCGTACTTTGGTCCCCTTTGATCGAGCATGTCGACGACTTCTACGAAATCTTTATGCCCATATTATGTGTCCTTGAAAAACAAGCGCCGCTATATCTGCTTCGCTCTATATTAATCTAGAATCCCTGATTGAATGTCGCTAACGACAAGCTCCTTCCCTCAAGCTCCTTCCCTTAAGCTCCTTCCCTTAAGCTCTTTCCCTTCAGCTCCTCCCCACAAGGATTGTAAAAACCGTATTCCACGCCACCAAACTTTCATGTAGAACCCTACAAGTTCGTTCAACCGTGGCGTCCTCATCAATAGGAAACGAACCTTTCTCCGCGACAGAACCGATCTACAAAAAGCCCCCACTCCCTTAGCCCAATCTTCATCTTACCCACGGTCATCGCAAACGTAACACCGGCAAATCTTCTTTTCCAAGGTCGTCGTCGTCATCATCATCGAGAGAAGAATCACAATCTCCTTCTTAGGAAGCAATGTCGTCGTCACTCTCTCTCGCTAGCATCGATGATGCGGAAGCCAAAAATTACTACTATGGTCTCCCGTCTCGGCCGAGGCTTATCGCTCGCTCTTCCAGTGACCCTTGGAAACCCGTCATGACATCGCCTCATTGGGGTCAAGCAAGAAAAGTTCTGAAGCCTGTGGGCACGCATCCGATCGCCGATCAGTGGAACAACGACGGAACCAAGACCTCCCTGCGTTCTGACATCATCACGGAGCTGGGCCGAGAGGAAACAGATTGGGATGCCATTGATATCCTGCGAATTGGATACCCCGAAGTGGACGATTTCCCAGTCGTCATGTTCATTTCAGTGAATCCCAACTCAACATCTCCTGATAATGGAAAGTTACTTGCTCTTAGGTGCCGCGATATTTATTGGCACACGGTATCCTCGATGTACACGTGGAGGTCAAGGACTCACGTTTAGTTCGTGTCGTTGCGGACGCACCAAGAGTCCCAAAGCTCATCCAGGAACCTCTCGAACTACCGAACAACGAGTACGAACGGAATCTTTCTGACCAGATTGGTGTTGGCATCGCGGCAAAGGAACACCTTCCAGAGAAGGAACGAAATGTCTGTATGTGATGGCTGCGAAAAAGGGATCGCAACCGTCGGAGCTAACGATGCATACACTTACTTGCCGACACGTGTGTTTGTCTGCGACTGATACAACAAACTACACAGAAGCTCCTGGACCAAGGGTGCCGATGGTCCAGCCGGGGACCCAATCCCATCAGGCGGCCACTGACTCCCTGACTGCAACCGATATAAGCATAGATGACACAATCAACAGGTTAAAGCGAAAGGTCAACATGGACCCAGAGATCCAGAAGGAGCGTTTCGAAAATTATGAGCACAACGGATCCTATGTCAAAAGGCTACTGGACCAGTATCAGCAACGGTCCTCAACAGAGTCAAGACGATTCGGTTTCGTCGCGCAATCCCCTGCAGTGATGGCCAAGCAGTCCGTAGAGTACAACTTCATCGCCGATTGGGCCCTCATCGCACTCAACCCTGGAATGCATGAAAAGGAGACCCACCAACTACAGAATCGGTTATATGTAGGCAATATCGACATACGTGGCCAGTTCAGCATTCTCCAGCGCCGAATCGACTTCCTTGAGCCCGCCCCGGATGGTACGATCGTCCTGAATGGATTAGTACCAGTGTCCGAGATCTTCCAGCCGAGATTTTACGATGCAAAAGACGGCTCTGCCAAACTCATTGTGGGAAAGAGGGGTCTGACCACCGGCCTGACCTGGGGCATTTCGAATAACGTCAAGTCAGTCATCCGCCAAGTTGTAGTCGTGGGTCAAGGAACGGGAGAGGAGCGGAGTGAGAGATTGTACAGCGAGTGGTGCGTAGTCAGCGCTAATGGACCTCTAAAATCCGCTTTCACCGCAGTAGGAGGTTCGGGAGCATGTGTTTGGGATTTGACGGGCCGAATCGCTGGCATGGTCACCTCTGGGTTGAGTGGAGATGGGTACATCATGGACGTGACTTATGTTACGCCTATGAGCTGGCTGATGAGTGAGATGGAGGAGCATGGCCTAGATGTGGTAATTCCGTAGTGAACACCTGGGATTCAACTAATTCACGATAACGAGTAGTAAGAGGGAAGAGTCAGACAGTATTCATAGTCAAGAGCCCAATTCATAAACCAGTTGAAGTACTTTACTGAGGCTGAGTTGTTCAGTCTAGGTCTAGATTTACTGCTATGAGTAGACATCAAGACTGCCTGTCTCGATGTCAGTCACATTTCCATACATGCCTGGCGCGGATGTCAAGCGCCGTGATATCAGAGCCTCTCCACAACACCGACACTTACCCCATACAGACCAAGATAGCTCATCATTAATTCGTCAGCTTCCTTCAAGTAGGAGACATATCAGGCGATGCTGCTGCTTGAGTCAACGTGAAAATCCATAGTTCAGTGGATGAATCTACACAGCTCAAATGCGTTATTCCCTATCTCATCTGTTATTAATGTCTGGAAGGGAATCGGTGGAGTGCCAGGCTGGTCTGCAAAGATACCCGCGCGGCTCTCGACTGTGGAAGGTGTGAGTGTATGGTCGGGCGACGCATGCTGGACGGAGTTGAATTACATCACAAGCAAAGCTTCAGCCGACGGCAATGACATATATCCGACTCTCGCCCAAAGCAATACTATTGTTGTTTTTGAGATGGCCGATTCCTCCCTACGTTGGCCCGTCACTAGCCACCCGTCCCGTCCAGAATCATCATGCCAACGCGCGAATAGTAGACGTAGATGTCTATCTCCTCCAGGTCTTGCCCGACAGTGCAACGGCGGCATCTTGTCTCACCACCAGCGTGGAAACCAAGTGGGAGTCGCTAGCTATAGACATTGTTGCTTCGTGAGCCCGAACCTTGATGGTGAGTGGCAAAATTGGTTGGAAGGTGGGGGGTGTGATGATTGGAAAACGCATCAATTGTGATACGAACACAGTCGGGAGAAAGTTCAGCAGCCAGCCCCAGTATATATAACCCCCAAGCTATTTGATTGTCTTTCTTCCTTGACTCATTTTTCCTAGCAACACGTGCAGTAGGAGGTGCTGGACCCATGTTGATCGGCTTGTAAACCAAGGTAGCCCATTCATTCTATGTAAAAAGACCATCGCAGGCAACCCAGTCATGGAACCCTCGTTTACGAATTTCACGCACCTAAACTGTTGTCATCTTGAGGCAAAGAAGGTAATGTACAAGAAGAAGAGGGGAGGGAACATGGCTGTGAAAAATCCTTCGAGGTTTCACCAGATGCTGGAATGTTAAAAACACAAAAAGATTTCGTAATGATAGAGACGAGATTCGAACTCGCGCGGTTTCCCAACAGAGGCTACTGTGCTTAGTAATCCTAAATCTGTCGCCTTAGTCCACTCGGCCACTCTACCTGTTGACAGCCGAGCGGCAAATGTGTTAATATCGTTTGGGGGAGATGCGTGGTGCGGATGGCTCAGCTTGCACGTCCAAACTGGGGCGGGGGAATGGTGGTTGCTGACCCTGACGGCAGGGGGTAGTCACGCTAGGCCCAATATGGAATATGATTTGTGGGACCAGCGAGAGGTGGGGGCTGCTCTCATTTCAGAATGCATTGTAAACTTGTTGGCGTCCATACATGTAGATATCACAATGTAGTGTGCAACCACCACCAAGCAACTTACCACTTTGGAGCAAGGTAGCCACCCGATCATGTCAATTATAGAGGCAGACTTATCCGCAGGGAGAAAAGGTAGTCAAATTTACTGGAAACAAAGAACATATGATTCTGGGACAGGTATTTTATGCACGCGTGGTTTATGCTAACCATGTTCTGCCACCGGAATCGTTCCCTCCAACCAACACCAAAATTTGATTTTGAACTAATCCAATAGGAGCAACGGCACAATTCATGTCGACTGTCGGCTTTCCTCTTGTTGGCCGACTGGTCTGGCCATGTTTGCGGGTTCAAGATCTTGGGAACCTTTCCTACCTTGGGAAATCCGAGGCTCCGACACACCCGCAAGACATTACAGTGACTCGCTATCGCTCTGTATGATCCTCCGGCCGAAGAAACCAGAAAATCTGTGTGGTGGCGCGTCCATGGCCGAGATCCGGATAACGACCCGGATTCCCCGGCCCCGCCAATCTTCCGCACAAAAACCCAAGAAAACAACTATCATGTCCGAATAGTGAAACATTGCAGGCGAAAACGCACCCAACGTCTGGTGAGGGTGCCCATTGCGATTACACATTAACTCCGGGCTGATTGTTTTCTTGGTACATTGTGCAATGTTGGGCCGCACGGCAGTGCTAGGCCCCGGGTGGGGCCAAATAAGAGATGACCAATCATATCAGATGCTGTCTGAAGAAGCGGGGCATCGGCCGACAGCCGGTCTGGGCCCTGAACCGCGCCGGCTTCGACGATGCGCCAATAATTCGTTCTCAGAGGCATTCAAGAATTAGTAAGTATTATTGGGCCCAGGGCTCCTATAGTTGTGCTCTAGGCTGCTGTATGTATAGAAGACGTGAGCGAAGCTACGACTCTCTTCTCTAGGCCCGAAGGTGCTGTGTCCATCGGCCTTGCGCTTGGTTGGGTGCTTGACTTTAGACCTCAGGCCGAATGCTGCGAGTCGTCCTTCGTCCATCGATGCCGTCGCGTGTTTAGGAATTTTTAGCCATGTATGTGAAAATGAACAGCTAATGGTTGCTCTCCGCGTAGTCTATTGCCTATTTACTCGGGGGGACAAAGGCTATCAAGCACCATTGTGATGACCACGTTGTCAAAGTCGGGACTTGTATTCTACGCCTGTCGAGTTCGACAACTTCTTAACGACCTTATTCACCGACACTTAGAAGCGTCGCCGCTATATCATTAAAATCGCTACCTAGCCTATACACACTTATTCTTACACATATATACACGTCCTAATATATACAAGAAAGAGCTAAGAATAGTAGGGGCAGTAGGGGGGGGATAAAATTACTAGAGGTTTAGGATGATTAATAGATTATGTTTAAGTATTGATATTTTAGTATGGGCAGTAAGATAAAGGTTATGCGACAGGTCGCTATGCTATACTTCGAGCTTCATCCTAGCCTCTCTGTGGAAACACCACCACTATTTGTCCATTTATAGGTACGCTATGAGAGGAACGTGATTCTTGACGTCGTTGGGAAGGCTGTCGCAAGGAATGATATTGGATCACTAGTTGATCTCAAGAACGACGCTGTCGACTATGACTGCGGTACAGGATAGAAGAGACTGCGTATCCGTACCAGCGGACCATTTCTAAAGGATCTGTTCTCAACTCACTTTTGGTCAGTAGACCGCGTAGATATGATGTACGGGGTGCCCTCAGATGGACACAAAACACGACACTTTAAACACAGCGAGAATCACAAGACACGTCAGGCAAATTTCAAGGCTTCAAAACTTTTCAATAACCCGTCTACGCGTAGGTATCATCATCATGGACTAACTTTGTCGTCCCTGCCCGTACCGTCCTTTCTCGCCTGAGATCCAAATGCATCATGCTACTCATGCCATCCCCTCGTCCGACACGTCCTATGAACTTTTGCCCATGTTGGCGTCCAAAAGTTTATCAAGATCAGCCATCTTCTTAGCCGCTTCCCTCTCGTCAGCCTCCTTGGCAGCCTCCTCCTCGTAGCCCTCCGTCTTCATGTCGTTCAGACCAAGCTCCTCCTCCTCATCGTGTGTGCGGTCATAGTATTCGCGTTGGATGGACGGGTCGGGAGCGGGGGGGTCGACCAACGGCTGGACGAAACTGCTGGCGAGAGGATCACTCAGAATGACGGTGAACGCGCGGTCGCCATTGATGGCCTCGTCAAGACCGTCAAAGAAGGCGGTCCACTTGGTCTTCTCTGTAGGGTCGAGAGAATCACCGCCAGAACCACTGGAGCTGCCATCGACTTGGAAAATCTGGCTCTTCAGGTCATCGCGGACCTGGGTCAGGAGACCCTCAATGGTGGTGAAACGACCACCAAGGGTGCCTGGATTGACAGACAGGTTGAGCTCGGGGCACTCGAGTGCGCAGGTCTCAGACTTCAGGATATCGCGGGCGAGGTCGATTTGCCCGTCGACCTTGATGATAATCTTCTCTCCCTTCTCGGGAATTTCACCGCCGGTCTTGACGTCGTTGGAGCGGTAGCCACACTCATCGCAGACGGTAGACATGAGGACGACCTGCTTGAAGTGGGGGATATCGACCATCTTCATGTGTGTTGTGCATGGGCGCATGCAACCCGGACAGCTGGCGGGGAAACTGTAAACTTCGTTGGGAATGATGTCGCCCTCGGCGGTCAAACCCGGGTTGGCAGCAGCGGCCAGCTCGTCAGCCTGTGCGGCGGAGATGCCCAGAGCTTCGTTTTGTTCGGCGGTACGGAGGTACTCGTGCTTCTCCCACTTGCCGACACCATCCTTCAAGTCGGGTGTGATAAAAGAGTTGCCAGCGGGGTCATCGACAGTAACACGGAAGGGGAAAGAGCCGCCGTCGAGCATAGCGCGGCCCTTTTCGATGATCTCGGCGATCTTGGGGTAGACTTCGGGCATCTGCTCCTTGCGCGCCTCTTGTCCAAAGTCGAGATCGTTGATGACTGTGCTCAGAAGACCCTCTACATTTGTAAGCTGGCCCTTGCCAGCAGGCACCTCGAGGTCGAGTTCGATAAACTTGACGGTCGCCGTATCGGACTTGACAACCTGGCGCGAAAAGTCCTCCATCGCGGTTAGGCGGAGCTCGTAGTGTGTGCCCTTGGGCTGGATGGATCCTGCAGGCTGGACTTCACTGTTGGCGAAGCCGCACTCCTCGCAGGCAAATGACATGATGATGATTTCGCGGAAGTAGGGGATCGAGGTCAGGAGCAGTCTGGTGTTTCCCTGAATGTCAAGTTAGTCCAAAGCCGAACAGTTGAGGACCCAGCGCATCTCACATTCTTTCCGCAGTTCATGCAGAGAGACTCAATCTCCTCGACAACCTTCTGGTCATCGCTACCGTCGACCTTTGAGCCGATGGCCTGGAAGAACTCATTCGGCGTCGTCTTGGAATCGGGAGCGGCCATGGCGAATGATTTGTTGTTGGTAGGTGTTTCTTGGGAGTGGTCGTACTTTCTCTTCATCGCGCAGCGGCCTCGTTGTCGGTTTTGTTATCGGTCGCGGGGGATCCAAGTGACTCGGTGGGATGGCGATGGCGGGGTCTCGAAATTTTTGGAGGGGCAATCGCAGCTGCAGGCCCTGCAGGCCGGGCACCGATGTGTGTCATCGAGCGGGTCCCCGGGTTCCTCCCAAGGCAGGAAACCTTCGAGAATATTCCCGAGAATTGCCCGCCCGCTCGTTGGTTTGTCATGGCCGCCACTGACAGAGGATCGCGGAGCTGGACGCCGTAAGTACTCCAGCGTTCGCGTGTTGTGAAGCGCGTGCTTAAGCCTTTCTCATCCCAACCGTCCAAAGTCGGCAAGACTCAAGTTCCTGGCACCTGAGGACGAGGTCTTGGCTTGGCTAAGCAGAGCCTGCAACCCGGCCTTGCGATTCTTCGCACGCTTCTTGCTGCTAGAGTTGGACGTGGCCGGTTTAGCTGCCTCGCCCGCCGCGGCTTGCTGATTCTTCGCCGCGGGCAGCTGCTCAATTTTGGATCGGCGTCTCACGGCCGGTGGCGGCGCAGAGAACGAGATCTTGGTGGTGCGGTTGCACTTTCCACAGCTGAAAAGCTTTCGCGTGCCAGACCGCCGCTGGAGTTCAGCTTTTGTCTTGGATGCTTGAGTCTTGACCCTGCGCCTCTTCCTCTTCAACGCCTTCTCAGTTTCGAGCTTGAGCGAACTGCCCTGGCCGGGGTTCATGATGTGACCGCAGGCGCCGCAGACGTGCTGTCGTTGAATGTCGTTTTGCTCAACATCGTTGATGAACATGAGCTCGTTGTGGTGGCTCATTAGATACGCCGAGGTCTCGGGGGCCGACGCCCTAAGGAGATGAGCAGCATCGTTAAGATAGCGCAAATGCGCTGGCAAAGTTGGTGCGTCCATCTTCTCACTCGGCCACTCGAGAACTTCGTTTGAAGGTAAGATGAAGGCGACGATGAGAAGACAGTGCAGATGAGTGAGTTGACTCTGGCTCGTTTGGTTGGCGGCACCCCACTCCTAAGGCACTTGTTTCTAGCGGTCCTCAAGGTGGCAGCCGTTGTGACCCCTGTAAAGTTGTCTGAACGCACTAATGAGTCGCAACACCAATGATTTTGGCTGCATAAGGTACTGCGCCGAATGAAGGTCTAACAATTTCTTATGTCGAAGAGTCTACCTAGTCGCTCGCAACTTCTTCTCACCATTCAACTATAAATACTATCATTATGACAGATCGGAAGGAGAAACCACGAGGCAAAAAACCCAAGCCAGAAAACCCAATATCCGCAGCCACCAGAGCCTGGCTTCTCTCAGTACCTCCGCAAACACAGCCATGGAACAGCCCAGACGAGCTCGAGACCCTACTCAACCAGCACACGCCCAAGCGGTTCACAGTATACGAGCCCATGCTGTTGCTCCCGAGCGGAAGTTTCAACAAGGGCCTATGGCGAACCCTCCTCAACCACCCAGACATCAGCGAGGATGAGATTCATCGCCTGTGGGACGCAATCCTCCGAGACGTCTCCAAGACTGGCTCAACCACATTGACGCATCTCGCCGTGAACGAAGGAATCCCTCTGCAGACAATCACAGACGCGGATGGTGTGATCGCCGACAAGAGCGAAAACATCCTGCGAACTCCAAGCGGGCTCAAGATCCTCCACGGCGACTTCGGCCCTTCCAGCAACCCCGCCAACCCCTCGCCTGAGGACTTTGAGGGAGCCTTCTGGGTGTCGACCAAGCAGAACGGCATTCACCAAACATGGGCTCCTCGATGGACCATGTTCAGCCGGGGGAACATCAAGGAGAAGACGCGTCTCCTTGACTTTCACAGCCAGGCCGGTCCAGACACCCTGCCTCATCGCCGGCAACTACCGGCCGCTGCTCTCAGAAGCTACTGGGCGGTGGACTTGTACGCGGGCATCGGCTACTTCACCTTTTCCTACGCCAAGCTCGGACTGAGGGTTCTCTGCTGGGAACTCAACCCATGGAGCGTTGAGGCACTGCGCCGCGGTGCTGTAGCCAACGGCTGGCGGGTAAAGGTCGTTCAGAGGGAAGAAGACCTCCGCTTACCTGCCGCAGACCTCTTGACAGGCGATGAACAAATCACCATCTTCCTCCAGGACAACCAAGAGGCCGGTGCCAGGATAGCAGACATGCGAGCCTCGGGCACAGCTGTCGACATCCTGCACGTCAACGGCGGGCTTCTCCCAACCAGCGAGCCTACTTGGCGACCGGCGTGGGATATCACCACACCTGCCGAGAATGACTGCTGGCTTCATCTCCACGAGAACGTCGGCGTCCACGAGATAGAACCGCGGCGCGCACAGATCCAACGCCTTTTCGACGGCTGGGCGGCAACGGCAGAGGGCGGCGGGCGAGCCGCGACGGTCGAGCATGTCGAATTAGTCAAGACGTACGCGCCCGATGTCTGGCACTGCGTCTTTGATGTACATATTACAAGATCTAGTAGCGTTACATGATCATCATGAATCTCTCTGCTCGTCGACGTCGTCAATCCTGTCCTGCCCACATCACCCCGTCATCTGTCATCCTCGTCTCGGACAGGGACCGAGCGCTATGACCGACGGAACTTTTGCGGGATATTATCCTCCACGACTGCCATGTGGTCGAGCTGCTCTTGCCTCTCTTGCGCGTCCTCCATCTGCTCATGCTTCTTGAAGTGTTCAATATCTTCGGGGTGCGTCAGGTCTTCGAGCTTGGTGTTCTCGTCGTGGTACCTAGATGGAGTTTGCCGTCAGCCCCTCTTTCTTGTCTGCTCATCACCCGGAAACCGCAATCACTACTTACTTTTCCCAGTGATGAATCTCGTACTCGTACTCGTCGTCGCCATGGTGCCCCGGACCCATGCCCACGTCCGGCAGCGTCTTGCCGCTGGCGATGAAGGCGTCCCATTCGGAGCGGTCGACGCTGCCGTCGTGGTTCGCGTCGAGCAGCTCCATGAGGTTGTGGAGGATATCGAAGCGCTTCTCCTCGGAGACGTGGTGATTCGTCTCGTCAAAGAGGCCGTATGTACGGAGGATCTCGTCGCCTTGCCAGACGCCGTCGCTGTTGTAGTCGTGCAGGGTGAAGAAGGAGGCCGAATCCCAGCCCTCCATGTGGTGTTCCTCTACAGAGAGACAAGAATCGTCAGCGCCCCAATTGCCTACCTTCAGGTACCTTGGTGTTCTGTGATGTGCATACCAGCCATGTGCTTCGTCATCCAATCGGCATTCTTGTCAACTATGGGCTTCTGGCTGTGGTCGCCGCCGCCGTGAGCGAGGGCGCGGCTGGCGAGTGCCAATGCGGCGAGGTAAATGGTGTGCATTGTGGTATCGCTGGGCTGCTTGGGGGATTTTCAAGATGGAGTCGCAAGTTTTGCTGATTGTTGACGACACGTGTAATAATCGCAGACAAAAGGTCAGACACTTAGATAAGGTACACAATGGGGGGAGCTAGGTGCCGATGAGGTTAAACAAAGAGCCACAAAGGTTCGGGGGCAGGTCGATGGGTACGGTGTCCAAATACCTTATTTAGGGTGACCAAGGTTCCAAAAAACAGCAGAAAAAGCTGGGCCGAGGAGGGAGCTTCGCGGCGTGGATTGGCAATTGCTGAGGATACCCGCGGACTGGAATGGGGACTGGAGAACCAGGCACAGGGTAATGGAATATTCACAGGAACAGGTGGCGTCCGCCATGGCCAGATTCAGGGGAGCCACCACGGCCTCTTAGAGCGGCAGATGCACGGATCGGCGATTGACAGGGGCTTAAACATGCTAGACCCGGGGTCGCGACGTGCCAATTAAGCTTGGGTTCCCATGGGTGCCTCGGTGACGCAACAAACCCATTCTCGACACCACTTCAGCTCCCAAACCCTTTTTTTTCCAGCTTGACACAGCGACGACCGACTCCGTCCACGACCGACCCTGCTAACCAGGATAGGAAGCATTCAATAATTCAACGAGAATTGAGCGAGGCGCGCATATACCGTGCCGTAGACACTCTCCTAGAGTAGAATTTGAGCTCTCACGCGCCTCGACGCGTCTTGCGCCGAAAGCTTTTCAACCCGCGCAACCCCCCTCACAATGAATCGATCCATAGAGCAGACGCTCCTCTCGCTGATGCCGACCCACGGCTCAGTCCTTCCGCCGTCTCTGGTAGAGCTCGCGGGTTCCCTACTAGCACAATCAAGACACCGAGCGAGCACATTAAAGGCAGACGAAGAAATCGGGCGGCTATACGCTTGCGCACACATTGCCTGCGACAGGTGAGGTCCCGCCACTTCTCCTCGACACAGCTGCTGACCTTTCCAAAGACTCAAAATCACCCTGGACCTCCCCCCAATCGAACCACGACCGCCAATCCCCCCCCGAATCTACAAGCGCCTCTACAGCCACCTCGACAACATCCTCCCCAACACAGCCCTGAACCGCACCCCAGGCAAAAACGGCACCCCGCGCAACAGGCAACGCCACGGCGTCGATTCCCCCGTCAGGACACCGCACCGGCCAACGCCGACAAAGGATAGATCCCTGGCGCAGTTCCGAACGGGCAACCCGGCGGCGGCGGCAGGCAGCGGGCCCAACACGCCGACAAAATCAACAGGCAAAGTCGCCTACCCGTCCGACAAGTCGGGTCTCCACTTCTGGATCCAGCCAACGATCCGCTACATGTGCAGGGAAACAAACCAGAAGCACCTCGGGCCGACGATGCTCGCGGGCATGGAGTACGTCGTTGTGCCCGGCGGGCGGAGGACGCGCGACACATGGGTGCGGGAGAACCTGGCTGCGCTGTGCGGCGCAGTATTCTTCTTCGTCGCGCAGCAGGTCCGGAAGCTCGCGACGGGCAAGGATGTCGACCGGGAGAACTATGTGCCCGCGCGGAAGCAGGTTCTGGATCTTTTGGGTAAGGCGAGGGAGGAGGTCGACGCGCGGGGTCTGGACGAGGACGAGGCGTGGGAGGGCTGGGCGCCGGTCAAGACAAAGGAGTTTGATGTCGCGGTGCGGGAGGTCACGGAACGCGGCTGGTTGGATGCGGATTGGTACCGCAGTCTGGGCGATGTGATTGAGGTGGGCCATGCGATTGCCGCCAGCCATGGCCGGGGAGACGAAACTTACAAGGCGCCCGTTCGTGGTGCGGACACGATGTTCCTGGACCGGTATGATTTCTTGAGCGACAAGAAGCGCAGAGACTATAGGATATGGAAGGAGAGTATCCTCAGGAGGATAGACTTGATGGAGAAGGAAAACGGTGACCGCATGGAGGTGGATGACTAGGGAGTCGTGAGAAGGATATCAATACCACGGCCTAGATCCGAAGCGGGATTCCCAACGTATTGAGCCTATGCCATGAAGATCCCGTCGATGCGGAGGGCATTTCAGCCGTAGAGGCAAAGCGGACCGGCTCCGCACCGGTCTGGAGTTGACAAGCGGCGCCGTTCTTTGCGAAAGCAGAAAACGGCATGCCTGGCAGTCGGCGCTCGAAATAGAAAACCTTGGTATTTTCGAGTATTCCAGCCACCCTCAGCACTTTACTCTCGCAGATGCCCTTCTGCCGCATGAAGCACCGATAATCTCCTCAAGTATGCCGCCGCCACCTTGCACAATCCCCGTATGCCAGATACCTTATGAAGCGCTATACCCACCTACCTACCTGCCTCGTGATCTTTCTTCTTTTCAATTCCGAACCTACGGCTTATTTGGAACAATGTGAATCCTTCTTCTGAACCCAGTCTCTTCAACAGCAACAAGCGTGCGGCTGCTGCCGGCGGACCTGCGTCGAAGGAACCTTGGATCTCACCCCAAAATGCGTGTATCCACATCCGCTCCTTCCCCCCTCTTTCTCGCGGACCCCAATCCAACATGATCATTCGGGACTAATTCAGGTAACGAACGGGCTGGCTTTTTCTCCAAGAAGTACGTCGCGCAAACAAATGGTAACTTTGCCTTGGGAAATTGCCAGAGGTCGGCTCTCATCTGCCTCATCATCTCAATCCAGCCTCCGCTGATCCTGAGCACCGCGATTGTCTTCTTGCATGAAAACCGATTCAACGAATAGCGGCCTACGAGCCCCTAGAGATCTGTATCTGAAATACTTTGAACTCCTGGTTCACTTAATTCTAATCTTATTACCACAGATGATAAACTCTGGGGCACTCGAAGATCATATTTGAAAAGCAGGTGTTTCTTTAATGATCTCTCACCTCCGAGTTGCTTGTCTCTTACGTCTCTTATTCGTAGGCAATATGTACAGCTTCAAACAAAAGTCTCGGTTTTGCAACTCAACACACAACCACCTCGTCCAAGTTTCGTCGTCTCATGATATTGCATCCAAACGTGCTCCGCCAAAATGCCAAAGGAGCCTGAGTTTCGCCGGCTCTCTCAAGTGTTCTTCAGCCGGAAGATCCCGCCAACGCCGTGCCGTGCCGTGATGATGCCATGTCCTGCCGAATTACCGCAGCGCTGTGTAAACGCCGACAGCAGGCCCTTGGTTGTGACGCGAGAAACCAATCATCGAGGGTATCGTTCCCTCATAACTCATGTTCCCATCCAAGTATATTTGGCGTAGAATCGGTAACCCGCTCCCGCGCCACCCCATCAATCCTGTCCCCTTTTGACTCCTCGTCCGTTAAGCACGTTCTTCAACTCAAACAGTTGAGTCGGCTGAGTCGGCCTTGTTGCGGGTCGCAGCATTGCACATCTGCGACTGAGAATGGAAGTTGCGATGCAACCAACCAACCAGCCATATCGGATGTAAGCTTGCTGTTACGGGGTACATCGCCAGCCCTCTCATATTGCCGGTCTCGTACCCCGCAGCCCGACGCCAAGATTTCCGCCACGCAATTCATACAAATACTCCGTACGATTCCAGCCGTTGTTCATTCAATCAGCGGCTTCTTCTGCCCTCCAACCAGACATAGCCCCAATGTCTGGAGAGATTCTCGGTCATTCGCTAGGACGATCGCCCGGGCAGGGAGCATGGGGTTATTCGGATCGACGTGCGAGGCGTCTTTGGCCGCCTGTTCAATAGCGTCCATTTCCTCTTTGCATGCTTGCTGGTCCATTGGGCAAATCACCAGCGGCTGCCTGACAGTCAAATCTCTGGTGGATCCTAGTTGCGCCTGATGAAGAACGTGAGCGTGAGCAAGTATGTCGCAAAGCGTAATCAACATACCTTAACAGTCAAGTAAAACTCAATCTTGTACAAAGTTGAGCTCGTTGTGAATGAAGTAACTTCATAGAGGGGAAACGCTGGTTTTCCTCTGCGAATGATGCCATCCGGATCGCGCAAGTCCTTGGATGGAAACACCAAACCCAAATTTGTTGCGTATCCTGCCTCGGGCATTTTCGTATTGACCAATTGCGTGTTCTTCGCGACTTTGTTGATCTTCTTCGTAGGCTCGTCGCCCTCTGGGTTGTACGTAATCTCCTCCTCGATGGTGACGGTGATCTTCTGAATCGTAACCTTCAACGCTTTTTTCATCCAGTCGGGATTGGGTACTAGTTTAATGTAGACTGTTATCGGGTCGAGCGGGCCGTAGCTCCATTTGGGAACCGAGATACCCAGTGTGACAACGCTTGCGTCGCTAACTTGCCTCGACTCGGGCTTGTTGTACATGCCAAAGGTCGACAAGGTGTCATATCGCTGTAGTGGTATTGGAAAGGAGTATTTGTTCTGGAGAGTGTGTCCTTGTTGCACGGTAACAACAAGCTCGTAGTACGTCTCGGCCGTTCGGCTAGGGAGTTGCAATGATGCTGGGGGTATTCGTCGGTTCGTTTCTTCGCCACCTCTTCCAAATGGGATGAATAGGACGAACGGCAGGTCCATCGCAATGACGCTCTCAGCATCCTTTCCTGATTGACATCTGAAAAGTAGTAGCTCTTTACCGACCACATCCGTTGTTTCCCTTCTCGGGGTGCCCAGGTGTCTCTTCGCAACATTCTCGGCGGCGGGGTGTATCGTTTCTCTCCGTTGTAGACATATGCGCACTAGCGAAACGGAAACGGGCATGGAATAGCCCTGTGATGGACGGATCTCGACTTTGCCTTCGATTCGGGGCTATATTGCAAGCAAAGACTGTGTCAGCAAGCGGCGCGCAAATGGGAATTCGACCATATCAGCCTGCCCGACGTCATCACAGAGGGTCCAACGTACTAGCGTCGCAGAAATGCCCGGATAGCCGACCAGGAAGCTGCTGTTGGGCGGACCAGAAACCCTCACGAAGGCGGCCATGCTGGCGGTATCGCCAGAGAGTCCAAGATGCGTCTCTCGTCGGCGTGGAAGTGGTGAGGGCGTTGGGCGGATGACGCAGGTGAGGTTCTCATATGTGTCGGTGGGCGGCAGTCGTGCGTCCTAGGCGCTGCGCGCGTTGCCGCCTGGTGGGTGTGGGGTCCAGACAGTTGAGTCCAAGCTATCGGGGACGTGCAACAGCAAGAGCAGAGCGCAAGGCCAAGCGGCGGCATTACATGGACGGATCGCAGTTGGCCTGTAGCCTGAGTTTGGCGTCGTCGGGCGCTGTGGGGAGTTGTCGTGCGCGGTCCAGCGTCGAGATGGGAGTTGGCGCAAAGTCGGAGGGGTTGGAGAAGCGGCGCCCTATCCCGGAGTCTGGAGATGGGACCGGCGGGCGGATGTTGGAGAGAGTGCGGAATGGGGGGGAGAAGAAGGATTGAGAGCAGCGAACAGCAGAAACAAGACCTCTCAGCCCAAGCCACAAGGTCGCGCGACTTGTGTACCTCAGCAAGGTGAAGCAGCCAAACAGGGCACCTAAGGTAGGCTCTGAGTGGATGCAGCTGGGCTGATGCAGCTTATTCTCGCTTCTGCATCAATTTTCCCAAGGCAAACATAAGCGGCGGTAGCAACGGTAGCAGCAGCACACAAGGCTCGTTCGGTCAGATCAGGCCAGGGAAGCTCTGGGATGAGCGGTGGATTGCGAATGGCGTTGTGCAACTAGCATACTCAGCTTGGCGAGTAATAGAGGGTGGAGGGAGTAGAGACCACAGCTTTGTCGAGGTACTTTACCTCAGGTAGGTAGACCTGAAGGCTGGTTGTTGGTGGAGGGGCCCGATGTGGCGGGGGGCTATGCGGCCAGAGATGGACACCGCACACGTCCCTTGATCTGTCTATGCCAACCAAACTTTGTTTTGCTGGTCCGCCGTTGTTTCCGTTGTCTCGTTGTCTTGTTGTCGTGTGCCCTTTCTTTCTTCCCTTCGTCGTCATCTCTTCCTCGGAGTGTGAGAGGTGTCTGGGGCGTACAGTCAGCCTCCCATGTGCACAAACGCACGTTGAGATGGGTATAAGATGGCAAGTCCCAGTGAGTACTGACTGCTGAGCTTTGCACAGCAATGGATCAGGCTCTGAAGGCGGCTATTTGCGCTCTGTGTGGGATTCGCTTCACTCTCCTCCCCCGGTGTGTTGATATTGGTAGCGATTGGGTAGTCTACCTACTGCTCAGCCGCTGGCCTGTGGGCTGTCTACCAGGGGGGGCGTTAGAAAGATGAGAGGATCGGTACAAGGGGCGGGTGTACCATGTACGGATACTTGAGGGCTTCCTGGTGGGACAGCCTCTTCCTCTGAGCCACACTTGAGATGAGCCAGTGGGAGAGACAGCCCGGTATTCCAGTTGGGGGCCAGTCGTCGTGATGGCTTGCGTGTCGGATAACGGTGTCTGAGCGGAAATCTGGGGGATAATTTGGTTTGGATTGCTTCCTTGACTAACAGGCATCCAACGGCGAAGGGAGCAGTAGCCAACATTGCGTCTTCCTGACACCCAACGAAGCTTTCTGGATCATATATTTTGATTCGACTCGAATTAGCGGCCGGGACTGTGAGGAGGTACTGACGAGTAAGTAGACTTGAGGGGAGATACTTGGAAGGGGGAGGGGTGCCCCGGACCAGGGAGTGATTGCTGGGACGATTGGCGGGCTGGGAAGGTGCGGGGAATGCCTCCAACGCGATTTCAGAGTCTAAACTCTACCTTACCCTAACACGCCTGAGGGAGCCTTGTAAGTGATCTGGGTAGGAGCGTCAGGAAGTGGGAAGTGAAAATGCCTACCGGTTGCACGGAAACTGATACCATGAATAGTCATTGCAGAAAGAATGACCCTCGAATTTTGTGGTTTGCCAAGTTTGTGACGAGTCAATCGTAGAATCTTCGCCATGTTTACCAATTCGACCCTGTGTGCCTGTGTACCATTTTCATTAGCATCCTCTCCATCAATTCGCAAATTCCCATAAGAATAAGCAAGTCATATTCACTGCTAACCGAAACGAAAAAAAGGTCTGCTGCCAACATCAAAAGTGCTTCCTGCCAGACAATGTCGTGAGCCGAGTTCGCATTTGTTACATTGCAGATGAACAGCCGCGGTGGTGTTTCAACGTCTTCATGACCAGACTCGCATGCCATCATTAGCGGCTTCAGAGACTCTCTTCAATAATTTTGGTCATCGCGCTCTATTTGAAGCGCACCAGCCAATTCTCTGCCTCAGCTTCTTCTCGCAAACTTACTTCTCCAGTGTAGGCAGTTCAAAACCATCGTGCCGCGAAACATCGTTCTGGAAGCTGCTCACCACCCCTGGCATGCTAGAAATGGCTCCATGGTCCCTGGCAATTTGGGGCACTGAAGCTTCGCCCTGCACAGCCCTAGGCACCCCGGACTTACGAACAGCCTCAAAAGGTGTAGGGGGTCCCTAGGACGGAGCAGGGGTGAGCTTCCCAAAGCTGTCCCAGGTCCTAATCACAGACAAGACCGGCCTCGGCATCAACCCGAGTTTTGAACTTCGAGACTTTGTCCCGGACCTCAGGCCCGGGCTGTCAGAACACCTTAATCATTATCAGACTGAGTCTGCGGCATGGGCTCTCGGTGCGTCATCTCGGTCTGGAGTCTGGACATGGGACGGACGGCGTTGGGGTGATGCTTTCCGGGTCGAGCGGGTCGAGATGCACGAGCCACCCAACCCGAGGCCTTAATCCCGTCATCACGTGCCTCAAGGTGCTTTCACTTTCCTTATGTAAGCCGCCGCCATCTTATCGCCTATTTCCGGCTTGAATACCGGTACTTCACCTTTCCCAGCTCCAACCCTATTCATTCTTAAATCCGTCCGCGTCCTGCACGATGATGCCGGCATTTGCGGACTAGCGGAGTGTTATGTAATGTAGACCTATATTCGCACGATAGGCGGCAAGGAAAGAGTTATGTCTGCAGACACGATTCGCAATTTGCTGCGCACGGAGTATGCAAGGGAGACCAGATCCAACGAGCTGGCAGAGAGATGTCTTCTGTCAAGCAATATGAGCAATGGTCAATAATTCCCCGTCTGCGAAGTCATGAAGATACGGCTATACCTAATGAACTTCCAAAGTTTACATATACAGCAACCACATCTGGTGCAACCATACGGCGGAGATGGGCAGGGGGATCGATGCCGCTAAACTGTAAATCCAAAGTCCAGAAACTCCTGGCTAATAAAGCGGCTTTAAGCCGATTAGCTCCAGACAATCCGCATCGCGTGCGGTCGATGCGGCCGCATCGTCCGCATCTCCATGAGACATTCCCTCCGTCACAGTTCACTTCAACACAATGGCATCACGATATATATACTCACGAAATCTTCCATTATTTCGAATTCAACTCAGACACATCAGCAGTCACATTCAATACATAGACACAAAAAGCCAACAACTTTCACCACACAGAAAACTTACACGTCCGCAGCTCCGCATCAACAACCCGACTAAGACTTTCGCCACCATGACCGTCCTCGCACCCTACGCCGAACAACACAAGACCACTTCCGGCCCCAACGACAGCCGTCCCTCGGCAATCCAAATCATCAAAGATCAAGATCTCGTCGGGAAATGGACCGGCAAGGTAGTCATCGTCACCGGCTGCTCCCCCGGCGGTCTCGGTCCCGAGACCGCTAGGGCCTTCCACATTGCCGGTGCCGACGTTTACATCACCGTCCGCGACGTCGCAAAGGGTGAGGAGGTTGTCAAGGACATCCTCTCAGACGGCAAGCCCGGGAAGGTCGAGGTCATCAAGTTGGACCTCGGCTCCCTGGAGAGTGTCAGACAGGGCGCCAAGACGTTTTTGAGCAAGTCTGACAAGTTGAACGTGCTTGTGAACAACGCCGGTATGTGATGTTGAATCACCAAAAGTCTCTCATGAGTTAACTTTACAACCAGGAGTCATGGCTTGTCCCAAGGGAAAGACAGTAGATGGTTTCGAAACTCAGTTCGGCACCAACCACCTCGGTAAGAACTCAAAGCAACAGAAACGAAATCCACGCCCACTAACGTGAAATCTATAGGTCACTTCCTCCTCTTCCAGCTCCTAAAGCCAACCCTCCTCGCCTCCTCAACCCCATCCTTCAACTCTCGCGTCATCTCTGTGTCCTCATCAGGCCACCGCGGCGGCCGCATCAATTTCGAAGACTTCAACTTTGACCACACCGTAGAGTACCAACCCTGGGCAGGCTACGGTCAAGCCAAGCTCGCCAACATCCTCTTCGCCAACGAGCTCGACCGCCGCTACGGCGCAAAGGGTCTCCACGCCCTCAGCCTCATGCCCGGCGGCATCGAGACGCCCCTCCAAAGGCACTCGCCCGAGATATCAGTGATGATCAAGGACCCGCATATCGCCAAGATCATGAAGAGCACCGCCCAGGGCGCCGCCACATCCGTCTGGGCCGCCGTCGCCAAGGAGTGGGAGGGTAAGGGGGGCAAGTACCTCGAGAACTGCGCCGAGGCGGAGCAGGTTGCGCCCGAGGCCGGTATGCTGGCTCCCGGGTATGCGCCGACCGCGTTTGACCCCGCGGCGGAGAAGAAATTATGGATTGAGAGTCTGAAGATGGTTGGGCTCGAGGATGACCAGTGATTTGGTATCCGAGGGGGGGGGGGTTGTCTCTTGCGATGAACACAATGTGAAAAAAGACTAGCTTGTATACCTTTTATAGAATTTGAACTTTCACTCTTCTATCTCGCACTGCCATCACGAACTCCCTGCTCTGAATCTGTGTAGACTGGGCATCTACCGATATGGCGCCGGGCGAAAAGTAGTTTGAAGACGGAAAGCAGCCGAAAGGAGCCAGTGATGGAGAACAAGTCGACCGGATCCTCGATCCGGTAGTCAATAGGATCCATCATCAACGCCGAGAACGGCGAACATTCTCAACTAGCTCACGAAAATACCTCGAGTCTCGGGGGCAAATCCGCGTGGACTACATACCGTACAAGGGCCGACGTGTTGGATTTTGGCCGCGATATATCACATCGGGGGCTCAGCTATTCGAGGCTGAGATGATGAGGGCGCCGCTGGGAAGATGTGGTTCGAAATGTTTATCAACAGAGCCCCAAGTAGTTTGAACGGCATGTGTACATGATGAGAGAAGCTTTGCTTGGAAATATGACATGTGTGAGACACATCATGTTCAAAAGTGCGGGTGAATACTTCACACCAGACTTGATGGGCGACTTTGAAGACAAGGTATGGTTGATAGACTGAAATTCCATTGAAGTAACTCTTCTGCTTTATGCGTTTTGAAACACTATGAATACACGTCTCCTACCGTCCCTGAATCTACGTTTCCTTATGCTTCCGGTACCCGAACCAGAAGACACACCATACACCTCGTTAAAAGTTTTTCTTCTTTGATACATGCTTGATAAATGAACCAAATACGCCTAGCGGCCGTAACGATCAGGTTGTCTCCCGTAGCCATCTTGTGGACGCAATTGGCCGCGCTGGAGCATCTCCTGATGCTGTATTTCCCGAGGATCCCTGGGATCCCTGGGATCGCGGCTCATCTCGCGCATTTGCATCTCTCTAGGATCCGGAGGATAGGGTCCAGGAGGCGGGCCGCGAGCATCATATCCCACTGGCGTGTAGCTCCGCGGTGGCATTTGGTCCCGGGGATCCCTGGGCGCGGGCGTCGATGCGTACCGTGGCGGGTACGCCTGTGGAGCTTGAGGTGGCATTTGCTCCGGCGCCCGAGAGACGGGTGGGTATCGCCCTTGCATTGGGTGCTGGTGCTGGGGAGGAAGCTGACCGTACATGGACGAGCCTCTTTCGTCTCGCATCGACATGTGGTGACCCGGAGGCGGTTGTTGTTGCTGCTGAGGCGGGCCGGAAGCCCAAGATTGTTGCTGCATGGCCGAGCCCGCAGGAGGGGCTTTTTGGGCCGACATATGCGGAGAGGCCCAATTCTGGGGAGGGGGTGCCGGCTGGGATTGCTTCGCAGGCGGCGCGTGTGACGCCGGCGGCCAAGAGGACTGTTGCTGTGGCGGTTGCGGTTGGCCCATGGCGTGTCCTTGAGGCCCAGGAGGCCATGCTGATTCCCTGCCTTGTGGGGGGAGCGTTTCGCGTCTGGAAGCCGACTGATGCACAGCATATTGAGGCGGCGGCGAGCCAGCGTGGGAAGTAGGCGCACCATATCCAGGGTATCCAGTCTGAGGCTGGTAAGGGTCTCTGGAGTCCCTGGGGTCGCGAGGATCGCGAGGATCACGAGACTGGGGCTGCGGCGGATAAGGCTGCGCGACTTGGGGAGAGTTCGTCGCTGGAGGCTGGTGGTACTGATGGCGGTAGTAGTCACGCTCGACTGCCGCCGCCGCATCGTGCGGAGAGGCAATGGCTGACCTCGGGGCACTCATATGCTGCGCTTGGGGCGAAGCGGTGTAAGTCGGCTTCAAAGGAGGCATCGCAGAGGCTGAGGGAGCATTTCGGCCATAAGGATATGCTTGAGGAGGCTCCCGCTCTGGCCGCAGGGGAGTCGGTGCCGGCGCGGCCACAGGCCCTCTAGACATGCTTTGCGGCGGCGGCGTCGGGGACGGCTTGATTTGAGCCATATCATTGACACGTTTGGGTTGAGGAGGGGGTGTGGGAGCGGCAGCAGCTGCAGCTGCTGGGGGGTCGTCGTTGAGCAATGACATGATGTTGGATCTCCTATTCTCCGAAGCTGACGAGCGAGACGGGGGCGCGGCAGCTGCTGCCGGCGGCTGTTGCTGTTGGGGAGGAGTGCCATATGAGTCCATATGGGTGGGCATCGGGCGTTGAGCAGCGATAGGCCTCTGGCCGGGAGGTGTTGAGACGGACGGCTGAGGATCACCCAAGAGTCTTCCACCTGGCTGAGGCATGGGTTGGCCGTAGCCCTGAGGGACCGGGGTCGCCGTTGCCCGCGGCGGTTCAGTAGGCTGTCTCGACACCGGTGGCTCGGATCGAGGAGGTGGCACGTTCCGCACCGGCTGCTGGCCGTAAGAGAAAGGTTCGTAATGGTGTTGCGGCGGCGTCATCTCAGGCTCCTGCTTAAGGCGAGTGCGTTCAGTCGGGCGCAGGTGCTCTTTGGATTGTGCCTCCATTTTCTGCCTTTCCATCTGTTGCCTCTCCATCTGCTGTCGCTCAGCTTGCTGACGCTCGATCTGCTGCCTCTCAATCTGTTGACGCTCCATTTGCTGCCTTTCGATAGCTTGTCTTTCGAGCTGTTGGCGCTCAAGTTGCTGCTGCTCAATGCGTTGGCGCTCAATTTGCTGACGCTCGATCTGCTGCCTCTCAAGCTGTTGACGCTCCATTTGCTGCCTTTCGATTTGCTGCCTCTCAATCTGTTGTCTCTCAATCTGTTGTCTCTCTAGTTGTTGTCGCTCAATCTGCTGTTGCTCTATGCGCTGGCGCTCAAGCTGTTGTCTCTCCATCTGTTGTCTCTCGATTTGCTGCCGTTCAATCGCCTGTCTCTCCATCTCTTGTCGCCTCTCGGCCTGTTGTCGGTCGACCAATGGGTCGGGCTGCACAGACTGAATAGGTTGTGCGGCAGCCAAAGGTCGTTGCTGAGCAGGCTCAGTGATTGGTGTGGCAGGTGGCTTCTGTGAGATCCTGACAGGTTGAGGGGGTTGAGTTGATTCCCGCTCTCTCTCCTGGAAACCGAAGGCTTGCTGTGGCGGTGCTCTTGGTGGGCGAGCAATAGGCGAGCCTGATTGTGACACGACCGGCTGAGCAGCCGGCTGCTGCTGAACTGGAATCGGCGCCTGTTGAGGAGCTTGAGGAGGGGCCTGTGTGGCGGCAACAGCAGGGGGAGGAGGAGCTTGGGTTAGGGGTTGTTGCGGTTGCGGTTGCGGTTGCGGTTGCGATTGCTGCTGTTGCTGTTGCTGTTGCGCTGATGGCGTCGGTGGTGCCGGGGTAATGGGCATGGCAAAGCGACCAAAGGGTGGGTTTCCAGTTTGTTGGGCGGGAGGCTCGACCTTGGTGACAGGAGGTTCGCTCGGCGGTTCGGGCGCGGTCGGCGGCGCCGGAGTAGCAGGCGCAGAGGCCAGAGGCCGATGTGACGAAGCCCCAGGCGTAGAGTCGTATTTCTTTCGTCCACCGACGGTTGGCGGTGGTGGATCGGGTAGCTTCTCACCTCTGCTTCGCTTCGCGTCAGCCTCAGCAGCAAATTGTTCCCACTCAGTCTTGCCCTGGTCTCTTTGTCTGACAAAGTAGTTCTTCACCATGACGGCTGTCTTCGAACCCATATGACCCGCGATGGCTACCCAGTCAGTACCGAAAGACTTCAGGAGGCCAGGGAAGTCATTTGCTTCAGACACGCTCCAGTAACTTGACGCCTGACTGGGGGCACGGCGTTCGGGTTGCGGCTGAGCAATGTCGAACGTCGCAACGGTTGGTTGCGTAGGAGGTGGTGGCGGCTCTGGCCGAAGTGATGGAGGCGCCATAACTTCGGATATCGGCGAAGGGGTGATAGGGACAGGGCGCTCCTGGACAACCAGAGGTGGCTGTTGCTGGGTTGGCATCAGAGGGGCCTGTACGCCTGTGGCCGGAACCTCGAATTGCGATGGCAGACGGTTCTCCACAGGCACAGGCGGAGGAGGCTGGAACTCAGTGTTCTGAACTCTAGAGTTCGAGCGAGACCTTCCCTTGCCTGAAGTGGGTGTGGGTGCCGCTACAAGAGTTTGCTGCGATTTGGGTGCCTTCGGTTCCTTATCCTTGGCTGCCCTCCTCCCACGCTTCCTGCCGTCGACCTTTTCGGGATCCGCCTTGGCTCCGCGACCGCGACCAGGTGTGCCGGCTGGTGTGGCATTGTCGGAATCCGTAGGCGGTTGCTCGAAGCCCCACGTCGGGGCAGCAGCACGGCGTGGCCGTCTCCGTTCTCCATTTTCGCCGTTCTCTTGGTTCTCCTCTCCTTCGTTTTCGGCGTTGCCCAACTCCGAGACAAGCGCGCTTGAGCGGGTCTTACCTCTGCCCTTCTTTCTGCGCTTGGGCTGCTTTCTAAGCTTCTCCTTGAGGTTGAGTTCCTTCTTCATCAGGTAGTAGTACTGAATACAGGTACCAAAGTTGCGTTTGGGTACGTTTTCAGCAACTACGCCCCATTGCTTCGGATTCGTGAGATACTTCTTCTCGAAGAGATCTGCTTCTTCGGAGGTGAAGTTGTTGATTGGTGGCATAATTTGCCATGCTGGTACAAGCTTCTCCACAGGCGTGAAGCCGGTGGTGTCTTTGAAGAATTCGTTATCGCGATCCTCCTTGGTCCAGTACATCTCAGGAATGACGGCCTCTTTCTCACTGCGATATTTCTCTTGCATGGCGCGTTGTTCTCTCTCTTTCCGTTCTTCATCTTCCCGCATGGATGCTTGTAACACTCTCTCCAGATCCCGTTCGCTCGCATATCTTCTGCCAGCTCCCCTACCTTCTGGTTTCAGCTCCGGAGGAGGGGGAACAGGGATATGTTTCTCGGGTGTCGGTAAACAACTGATAAAGGTTTCTCGGCTCTTGATCGCGATCGGATCGCTTGAGACTGTAAAGTCGAGATATTTGATATAGTTTTCGGCATAGTCCTTGCGAGCTTCTCCTTGCCCAGCCATCTTCTCCAGCGAGATCTTATCGAGCTGCTGCAGAATAAAGTCGTCGACCATCGAGTCCGATTCAAGCGACTGCAAGAAATCCCTGTCCCGGCTCCAGGGGCGGCAGCTGTAGTCTGGTAAGCTATCAATAGGGGGCGTCGCCGAGAACTGCCGGATTTTATCGATGAGCATCACGTCGGGATCTTCCGATTCGGTAGAGTTGTCGTCGTCATCGTCCATCTGAGAGGGTGTGCTGGGCAGGCCCTTGTCGCCTTCAATAGTTTCCATCGGCACACTGGATGGTTGGAGGAGATGCTGACCGTTCATAACCGGATCCCTGGGTTCTTCGCGCTCGGCAACCGACTCCACAGGTGCTTTCTCAGGCTCGAATGCATCTTCCATAGCAACATCTACATCATTTACCGGCTCGGATGGCTGAGGAAGCGAGGGCGCCGATAAAACGGAAGCAGGCTCGTCGATATCCATCTCCTCCGTTTTCGGCTGCGGCTCATCAGAGGTCGGAGCCATGGGGGCTTCCTGAACCTTTTCGACAACGGGTTCAGTCGCCTTCGTGGCAGGCTTTTCAGCTTTGTTCTCAGCCGGAACGTCTGCGGCTTCCTCAGCGCCATCAACAAATTTCTTGACAACCTGCTCCAGAGGCTTCTCAGTGGGCTTTTCGGCGACCTTCTCGACGACGGGTTCCACCTCCTTCTCCGGTTCTTGCTCGGATACCTTCGGGGCCGTCACCACGCCTTCTTCTTCTGCCTCCTTCTCTGGATTCTTGTCCGCCTCCTTCTCAACTGTGGTTCCCTCAGCCTTCTCTTCAACCTCGGGCTCCTGGGACTTCGGCGCGAATACAGCAACTGGGACAGGGCCAGGTACCGCAGTAGTCTCCTTTGGTGATGATTTGGATTGCTGTATAACAGTGCTCGAGACCTGGGGGGTCTTTTCGCGCTTCTCCTCAACACATGACAGAATCGGGAGGGGTTCTTTCGGGGGTTCCACAAAATCGGGGATCGGCCCAAGCATATCCACCAGGCCCTCTGACTCTGTGACAAGCGCCACCAAGGCTTCGTGTGCGACCGTAGCGTAGCGAGATATGATATTGTCCGGGGTGCTGTCAGCCGCGTCTTGTAGCTTCTGCAATTCGGCCTCTTCCTTTGCGATTTCCAAGGCGAAATATTCTCCATAGTCTTCGTCGTCGTCGGATTCAGACGTCTGTTCGGAGACTGGCGCCGAGGGTTCCTGGGGTAGGAGACGGAATCTTACTCGCGGCACCGACATTCGGCTCTCCTTCGCAGGCCTGGGTGGTTCCTTTTTCTCTTCCTCGTCCTCATCCACCAAGCCCTCGTCGCTGTCGTCTTTGTCGGCTGTCCCTGTGTCGAGTTTCTCTTCGCGCCTCGCACGATTCCGACGTTCCTCGTATCCATGGCCGTCGGTTCCTCCCATGACAGTGTCTCTAGGATCGTCTAGATGCTCTACATCTCGATCCATGGAGCCTCTTGCGGAATAGCTGTCTCTTTCAGATTTGATGACAATTTCACCAGGTTCCGGAAGATTAAGCGACTTTACCGAGCCTTCAGTCGCAGAATTGTGAGAGTCAGCCTTTGCATCACTACTGCGTGGACGCCTGTCGTTGTCGCCTTGTTCCGCCGGGACGCTTTCATGGCGGAAGGGCACTGGACGTTGCTGCTGTGCAAAGCTCTGCGATCTCATAATCTTGGGCGACTCCGGAATCTTTTTCCCTGTAAGTGCTGGATTTATCCACTGCTTACTCGAGGGGCGTTGCTGTTTCTGTTGTTGAGCGCGAGGGCCGGAGGGAATGGGGGGGCTGCCCTCTATGAGATTCATTTTCGCTGGTCCGGTAGGAGGTGCTGGGAAATCTCCGCCGCTACTTCCGCCGCCGTGTCCGGCAGAGACGGGTCGTTCCGAATTGAATGCTCTCGGGGCTGTGGGTGGTAGTTTGCCAGTGCCGCCAATAATGGGTGATCCGTCGGCCGGGCCGTTGCGACTGGGAACGGTGCCAAATGCGGGTGCTGAAGGGGCGAGTGGCGGTGGAGAGACATCCTTGGTGTTTGGCGACTGCGCTTGGGAAGACATGCCTCGGTCTCGTTCTCGATCAACCTTGGGTCTCAGCAACTCGCGATCTCGGGGATCACGGGGTTCGTCTCGGGGATCTCTGCGAACTTCAGCATCACCCCATCGATCCCCACGGTCGCGGTCGTCTCTGTCGCGGCCCCATCGCCCTTCCTGAGAGCGACTGCGAGGCCCGAACCGGTCGCGTTCGTCGTAGAAACCACCCCGTCCCCTGCCTCTCTCCCATCCTCCGCGTCCTCGATCTCTACCTCCTCTGAAACCACCACGACCCATACCGAAGGGGGGATCAGAGTTGGACGAGCCGGCGGAAGGCGGACCTCCGTCCCTTGAACCGCGCCTAGACCGTTCAGCATCGACGCCTAAAGGGGGATCTCTGTCGCGAAAGTCTCGCTGTGGTGGTGAGCGCCCTCTACCAGGCGATCGTGGGCGTCCTCGATAGCTCTCTCTATCCCGTCGATCCCAGTCCCGATCACGTTCACGGCTTCTCTCATCTCGATAGGGCCCATCGCGTCGCTCTCTGAAATCGATATCGCGGTCCCGTCCGCGATCCCTGCTGTCATCGCGGTTCCATCCGCGGCCGCGGCCTCTGCCGCGTCCCCTAAAATCGCCGGCATACCCGCCGCCTCTCGGGCCACTGGGAGGGTCCAAAAGCGCCTTAGGCCCTCGGGGCGGATCACGGGGTAGGTTGTCGCGGAATGAATCTCTGTTGTTCACAAAGGCCGAAGTGTTGGAGCGCGCTTCGGCGGAAGATCGGCGGCGGTCGCCGTCACTGTACTGCGATGCGCGTTCGTAACGATCGGGCGAGCGGTCGCGAGGCGATCTGGAACGACGGTCCCCGCGATCTCCCCCGTCATACCTCGAGGAATATCTCGAAGCCCTGTAGAGATCGTGATTAGCATGAAAGGGTCGTTCGAGGGGCCGCCTCGCATCTGCATGACGCCTGTTGTGGTCAAAGGGAGGCCGCATCTGGTGGTCAGAAGTAGTGTCTCTCTGACTCGCTTTGCCACGAGCGCGATGCCTTGTCTGGGTCTGGCATGCGAATGTGGGTTGAATGCAAGATTGATGACCTTGGGGATTTAGGTTTGTTGCCTCGTCTACTCACATCGCACTAGGCCGGGCGACAGCCCTTAACGTTGCCTATGATAAAAGCCCAATACCATATGTGTCTGGATTGGGACGTGGAACCAGAGAACCTTGGCTGTCGTGGGTCGATGGAAGACTTTTGGAGTGGTCGGGTCCCAACCTCGGATAAGCGTCAGGACGGGCGCTGCTCAGGAGGTGAGGTAGCGGGCACGGCGGGGAGTGGGTGCATCCGACAGCGGGTCGTTGTGTGTTTGTGTAAAGGTATGCTTTGGCACTGGGTATTGATGTACGGCGGATGGGAGCAAGTGAATGAGTGTGGACGGTGTCCCGTTGGCAGCGCTGCTCCGGATGGGCGGACGTTATGTGTCGTCGTGATGAAGGGCGGAGGTGCGACACTCAGGCACTTTGGGGTACAATCGTGTGATGTTGAAGGATTGAAGACGGGACCCCGGCGGCCACGGCCACGTTCAGCCTGCAAAATACGGTTCGCGTGCAGTGGCGCTTAGTTCCGAGGTTTGGCACTGGGCTGAATTGGATCTCAAATTCCCTGGGGGCAGCGCCAGCCTTTTACCGCCGGTCGCGCTAGGCTCTTTCAGGCTTCTAGCGGGCCCCCCGGCAGTTCGAGGTTGTTGTCTTCGGCCCTGTGCCTGCCTCCGAAATCTCAATTTCCAGGTTTCAAGACATGCGGTACGTACCCTCCAATGTTTGCCAAACCTCTGGAGTCTATCCGTACCGTCCTGTCCAACCAACTGAAAGAACCTACATTAGGTACCTACCTAGTGTCCACAGTCCGTCCTGGTCACCAAATCCACATTACCGCAAGGTACCTCAAGGTGAGGGGATTCCTAAGGGTGTACGGATAAGGTAGGCACTTCGTACGTCTCCTCCATCGTTGAGCCTCCCCGTCTTGTGTGCAATGAACCAAATAATCGTTCTTCACTGGCCCCTGTGCCCAGGCACCTCCCACACACCACAGTGACCACACACACCTCGTCACCGTGTCGCCTTAACATTAGACGACCCGACCTGCTCGGGTGGACACTCCAATTCGAGGTGGCCCTGGGGTGGGCCCTGTGTGCGCGCCGTGGCAGACCCTGCGGCCTGTTACCTACTCCACCTTTCCGTCAAAATTCTTTGCAGAGTGGAGCCCGTTATTCTGGACATCGCGGCCGTGGAGTCATCCCATGCCCGCCCGGATGGAGCCATTCTGAGTGTGGTGTGTGATGGTCACTTTTCGCGCCAGCGCCGACTTCCATCAAATATCCTCGCTCCCTAGTTGATGAGAAGAAGACAGTACGGATACACATACTTTATTTCGGTTGAAACAGTCACAGGGTTCTTGTCTGATAGCCATACAATTCTGCGCCGACTCGTGCTCCCACCATCCGCTGTAGATCGCCACTCCCCTCACTGGTATGTACCTTTGTTCGGTGGGCTTGAGACAATCTCACTTTTGAAAAACACTTCCACTTTGGATTTATTTCTTCTTGTTTCCGGAGTACTTGCCTCAGTCCTTCAATTACAGAGCGCATATCATGGCGTCTCAAGAGAACCCCAATGCCCCGCCGGCGGCAGCAACCGATGCGGTCCTCGTCGTCTCTGAGGAAATGCCCGAGGGCGCCCAGAAGGTCGAGGAGTTGGACTTTGACGACATCACAGGGCCAATCACCGCCGAGAGCCTGTACCATGGCATGAGGTACATGGGTTTCCAAGCCTCGTCTCTTACTGAATCCATTCGGATTATCAACGATATGGTGAGCTGCCACCACTTCTGCGTATGAGACGACCCTGCTGACAGGGGTTCCAAGAGGGCCTGGCGAGACCCAGAAACCGGCGACAAGACCACCATCTTTCTGGGCTACACCTCCAACATGATCTCCTCCGGCATGAGAGGCGTCTTCAGGTGGCTGGTCAAGCACAACCATGTGTCCGCCATCGTGACTACGGCCGGAGGAATCGAGGAGGACTTCATCAAGTGTTTAGGCGACACCTACATGTCGTCCTTTAGCGCCAACGGCGAGGATCTGCGCAAAAAGGGGCAGAACAGAATCGGCAACCTCGTCGTCCCAAACTCAAATTACCGCGCCTTTGAGGACTGGGTCGTGCCAATCTTCGACAAGATGTTCGAGGAGCAGGAAGCCAGCAAAGGCACCGACGACGAGATCAACTGGACGCCATCCAAGATGATCCACAGGCTCGGCAAGGAGATCAACGATGAGCGCTCCGTCTACTACTGGGCGTGGAAGAACGACATCCCCGTCTTCTGCCCGGCGCTCACTGACGGAAGCTTGGGAGACATGCTGTACTTCCACACCTTCAAGACCTCGCCTGGACAGCTCAAGTGTGACATTGTCGAGGATATTCGAAAAATCAACACCATCTCGGTACGCGCCAAGAGGGCGGGTATGATCATTCTGGGTGGCGGCGTCATCAAGCATCACATTGCGAATGCTTGCCTGATGCGCAACGGCGCCGAATCGGCTGTTTACATCAACACTGGCCAGGAGTTTGACGGAAGTGATGCGGGCGCCAGGCCAGATGAAGCCGTTTCCTGGGGCAAGATCAAGATTGGCGCTGATGCCGTCAAAGTATGTCACCACGAGAAATGGCTTGGAGAAAATTACTGTTCCATTGCTAACGCCTATTATGCCTGTAGGTCTATGCGGACGCCACATTGGTATTTCCATTCATTGTTGCAAACACTTTTGCCAAAGACAAATCATCATAGACGTTACGAGAGAAAAAAAGACAAAACGGTTTCATCGTCCACCTCCTGAGCACCACTACATGATGTTCCTGAGACTAGGCTTTTCTGCAACGTTGCTCGCTCCCACTGAGGTGACTTTGTTCCAACATGCCCCAGGTTATTCCATGCCCTCGGCATCTGACCCAGAGAATCCGGCATCAGGCCCAGGGCAGCAGCACGTATCGTCCTCGTCCTCGCCCGGAGCTGGTGGGCTGGCGCATTCCTGGCACAGCCTAGAATGCCGTGGGCAACCAGGGCAGACACAGCAGGGCTTTCTGTCCCTACAGCGACGGTCAGTTATCCTTGTCCAGTATGATGCAACACGGCGAACACTACTCTTCCTCTGCATCTTCAAAAACCGACGGCTCGTCTTCGCAGGCGCTTTCGGTCGCCTGCGAGTCATAAAAGTCGGCAGTGGTGATCTCGCTACTGCGGCAATCACTCGGAACGCCCTGCGGTGTCAAGACAGAACCGGCACTCAAACTCGATGATTCAGAGGTGAAGACTGGATCTGCCGCGCTGCTAGCTGTACGGCTTCCGCCATTTTTACCGGACTCTGAGCTCAGAGAGCTGGATGCCTCGCGCTCTCTACTTCCTCTGCAGTTACTCTCAGGAAAGTATCGACACTGTTGTTGTAATCGCATCCTACCACACAGGCCATTTGGATAGTCGATGATTTCTGCACACAAGTGTTCCTCCGTGGGGAAAACGCAGCAGCCTGATACAACGTGCCGCGCAGACGCTTCCATCCTAGCCGGTAGTTCCAGAGGTGCGTGTGCTGCTGGGCTAGACCGTGAGCCGTGGTTGGTAGTGCTGGTGTTCCTGGCCGAGGCTTCAGTCATCTGCGAAAATGCACTTATGTCGTCTTTCTTCAATGAAACCAGCCTTCGTTCAGCAGAACGTGTCTCACGAGTCATCCTCGAGCCGGCTTGGTGTATGTTTCCTAATATTCGGAACGTGAGCCCCGTGGAGGTTGACGAAAGCAAAGGACTCGAACGCCTCTGGAGGGAAGCCACGGCATTGACGGTTTGCGTCGTTTTGTGCGAACAATGGAGTGGTATCGGTTTGTTTTCTTGCTTGTATGGACAGGCACGCAGACAGAAATGCGGTTTACCTTAAGATAAGTGTCATGGGAAGGGCTCTGCCTATCTCCAGAAGGGTAGTCGTGCATTGGAGATAGGTGCAAATTCAGTTTTCCACAGCCCATACCGTCCGTCTACAATCCAAAGCAATCACAATAGTCCTAGATGGGTGTACCACAGGGAATCAGCACTTCCAAATCTAGGTTCTGTCATAATTTGGACCATGGACCTTGCTAGGTGGGTGAGTTCTTCAGAAAGCCTCTAAAACGAAGTGATACCCCGTGTTTATTACAAAGCGGTGATAATGTCGACATTGAGAGGTCAATCAAATATTTCAATCAGGTACCCCTCATTGAGTGTTTTGTCAATTTCAGTCAATTCATTCATAAGGACTACATGATACCTACCTACCTTGTAGAGATAGACAAAAAAGTGAAAAAAATAGAGTCGCGGCAAAAGCAAAAGGCAGAGTCAAGGCTCGAACCTTTATACTTCAGCGAAGGTGAGCATGGCCGTGGAATGATGGGCTATCAACCACTCAAGCTTCCCGGCCACTTTTTCTTTCGACGGATAGTAATTCAAATCAAATTTCGAATCATACCTAACCCAACCAAGGAGGTAAGATACTTAATGTGAAGACCAGGCGAGGGAGGTGCAGCAGATGGACAGGCGGAACGGGCAGAGCGGTATCCGTACCGAATTAGATAACATTCCGAGGAAGCTGCACGTGATCTTATCGATAAACCTTTCAGAGGTGACCTCGCCGACGACGCTCTAGAAACTTTCCGAGGTTGTAGCTGCACCCACCACTCACTTGTTCAACGCACCTCTCCCATAATTACCACCTTCGTCCACCCCTAGCCTAAAAGTTCCACGCCAGACTTGAAAGAGCCCCGCGACGGCCGGCCAAGATGTCGGCCATTTACAACCTCGAACCGCAGCCGACTGCGTCTGTCATCCTTCACACCACCCAAGGCGACATCTCCGTCGAGCTCTTTGCCAAACAAACGCCACTCACCTGCCGAAACTTCCTTCAGCTCGCCCTCGATGGCTATTATGACAATACAATCTTCCACAGACTCGTGCCGGGATTCATCCTCCAAGGCGGCGATCCAACGGGAACTGGCAATGGCGGCGAGTCCATCTACGACGGAGGCGCATTCAGCGACGAACTGGACCCCTGGCCAATGGATCAGCGACGCGGTGTCAATGCCGGCCCAACGGGCATCGGGTTCAAGGACGAGTTTCACTCACGGCTGAAATGGAACAGGCGCGGGCAGCTGGGCATGGCGAATGAAAGTCGTCCCGATACGAACGGCAGCCAGTTCTTCTTCACACTTGATCAGGCAGACGAACTCAACAACAAGAACACGCTGTTCGGACGGGTAGCTGGCGACACGATATACAACTTAGCAAAGATGGGCGAGGCGGAAGTCAACCCAGGCACGGACCGACCGACTTACCCTGTCAAGATCACAAACGTTGAAATTCTTGTCAACCCTTTTGAGGACATGGTGAGGAGGTCCAGGGTAGCGACCCAAGCGCCCAAGACTGTGGTCATTGAGAAAAAGAAGAAGAGGAAAGGTGGGAAACAGCTCTTGAGTTTCGGTGATGATGAGGGCGATGCCGACGAGGTTCCGGTTTTGAAAAAGACCAAATTCGACACGAGAATTGTCGTGGATGTGGACGAGGAGGATGACTCAATTGTGAAGAAGTCGACCAAATCGAGATCGAAAGGGAAGGCAAAGGTCGAGGTGCCGCAACCCCCGCTACGAGACGAGTCCAATCCCGAGCTTGTTGAAGACAAGCGGACGGCACCGCCAAAGGATGTGTTATCAGAGAAGAAGAGCGCCATTCCTATTCGACTTCAAGATTTTCCGTCGCCAAAGGCCGAGATTCATGACACCAGGACAGCTCTCGAAAAGACAAACGAGGAGATTGCTGCTCTTAAGGCCTCCATGAAGCGGAGCTTTCATTCCGAACCGGTCAAGGAGACCAAGAAGTCTGCGCTCGAAAGCATGATTCCCGAGACGTCAATCCGGGGTAGGAGGAGAAGACCCGGCGGTAATACGAATACCCGCGAAGACCAACAAGCTCTCGACTTTTTGAAAGCCTTCAAGTCAAAGCTGGATCAGGCACCGCCGGAGGAGGCTCCGGAGAAGGGAGACGGACCCACCTCCGCTGCCGATGAGGGGGCACGCAAGGAGGAGAAGGTCGCCGACGAAGAAGCGGAGCTTTGTGATCTTCACTTTATTGCCGATTGCCAGAGTTGCAAGGCTTGGGACCAAGCCGCCAAGGAAGACAGCGACGACGAAGGGTGGATGTCACGGGCACTCAGCTTTAAAGCGGATAAGCTGGGTAAGGATCTCAGTTATCGCAAAAAGGCAGAGGAAGAGTTGGTTGTCATTGATCCCCGGGAAAAGGCCAGGAGTCTGCAAGAGGAGAAGAAGGCATCGCGAGAGGCCCGGAGCGGAAACTCCGGGCGTGAATGGGATCAGGCACGGAATGCAAAGATGGCCAGAGCTTCGGCTCTTGTGGGCAGAGGAGCAAGGTAGAAAGCATCGGGAAATCTCGAAAGGAACATGGGTGAATGCGACTCTGTAGGGCGGGCATAACGGCAGTGAACCAATGATACCCTTGAATTTGAAGCAAGATGACGACTCAAAGTTTGGAGGTCGCGTTAGTAATTCTCAATTCCGCGATGCAATTCAGACAGCAAAAATTGCACTGGGGGGACCGTGCTGGTAGAATTGAGATCGAAGAATAAGCTAGGAATCGGGGGAAAATGACGTTGCAAAGGGGCCAGCTCCCCGCCGGTCCCCACATGCATCATCGAGATGGCCTTGAGAGACGACGGCAGTCACCGAGGAGAGAACAGTAGGTAGTTCAGCCGAGTCCAGACCCTTGTGTAAATATGTAGACTCGTAGACTCGTAGTAAGGGTTTGGGGGTGAAAGTGGAAACAGGCATTTCGGCGGAGGCTATGAAAGTTGATGCTTGACAGCTGGCGACAGGATGGCGGGGTGGTTTCGTTCATCCACAATGGTCGGGTCAGGCCAAGTATCCGTACGAATACGGATAGGTACTATTAGGTGAACAATGGTCGGTTGACCTGCACCTTCAGTCTGGAGCGTGTGACAGTGTCAGGGAGGATCGAGGTGAAACCGACTGCTGATTGGGCCGGACGATCTGTCCCGTGCGCAAGGGACCTTATCCTAACCTATCCGTCCCAGTCGCAGGCCCTAAACGACCACGCTTCCCGTTATGAATGGTGTTTGGATGGGGTTCCCTGATGGTCCCAAGCCCGGTGGCCGGTGGCCGGTGTTGCTGGTGCTTGGTTCTCAGGTCTCCTTCAGGGTCCACTCGGGTCTAAACTCAGCCTTGGATCCTCAGCTTGTAGTTGTCTCGTCCCGTCTTGTTGATAATGATAATATAACGATATTGTCCCCCACGTTCAGACCAGACAGCTTCAGACAGCCTAACTCTCTTCCCAAGCCTTTGAGCCTGTGGCCTTCTTACTCGGACGGCCTTGTCCATTGCTTCAATTTTTTTTTCTATATAAAGAGTCTATCACGACTTGTCTCAATTGCCAGGCCCGCACACAGCGAGACACTCCTTCTTATCCAATTATCCTCTTTTAAGACAATCCCATCAACCCACAGTACACGACGTGGTAGCGACATCATCCCCCCCCCCCCCCCCCCCCCCCGCCCCCCGCGCCCCCCGGCCACCGCCAGAAGCCAGCCGTCACAAAACATCAATATCGTCTTTTGACTAATATTCTTTCTTCATAACCAGCCCCCCCACACCCGTGCACCGACGCCGCGCCGACCCACCCACCCCCCCCCCCCCACCACGCACCTTGGAAGAGAAGAAGAAGGGGAAGAAAAAAAAAGTGAGAGACGCGCTACGTCTGCAGCAGCCAGCAGCACCGCCAGCAACAACGACCAAAGCACAATCTCAAGCCACCAAGCACCAAGCACCATCGCTGACGCCTGACGCCTTACCTCAAGGTACCTACGGAGGCCGTCTAATGTGCCTTACCTAACCACGAGCTCACCTTTTCCACCAAGAAAAGAAGCGGAACCTCTCTCATTCAGAGCTTTCGCAACATCCTCCGCGACCGAGACAATCGCATCCTTGCGCCGAAACCCAATCCCGACCTATCGCGACAAGGGCTTCTTTGCCAGCCCATAGTTCGAATTGTTGTTGACGGTTTTCCCGCACAATAGACTCCCTTTACGAAAGCTTCCCCCACGCTTTTGGCGATTGACTCAGGCTCCCCCCTCCAGCCTGCCCTTTCAGCACCGTGACATAGAGAGAGACCCGGCTTCACGCCCACGACCAAGTTCGAACGTATATAGACTACGAGCCGTATTCATCCACCACCCTCTTTCAGCCACCGCGCTCTTCCACGACGACGACTTTCGGCACCCAGCAAACCTGGTTTTGCGCATGCCACAGGCGTATTTTCGGTTCTTCTGCACTATCCCGACCGATCCATTCGCCGCCGCCGCCGCCGCCGCCGCTCCTCGCTTGTCGATACCGCTGTAAAAAGAGGAGGTGGTTTTCTGCTTGCTCACGGCGAGGCTGGTACCAGGCTGCCTACAGCCTCAACCCAACCCCCAGACGCGGCCCGCAAAGATTCAAACGAGTCTCATCGAGCAGGCGACCCCCGCGTCAGCCTATTACGTTCGCCTCCAAGGCGCCGCATCAGCCGGTGACCTGGCCGATTCCCAACGGCACTCCGTCTCACCACCCGCCAGAAGCACATTCATATTTCCATGTCTTCGAACCCTCGAAAGCGACCAGGCCCAGGAACAACACCCACCATGCCGATGCCACAGGTACAACAGCACTCATTTCCCAGCCCGCCCAGCGACCAGTTCTTGCGATGGGGAGGGTCAGCGGATCCTGCCGGCCTCGTAGACGGCACAGGGGCACAGGCTGTCAACTCTTACGGCATTGTCCCCGGTCAGCAACAACAGCAGCAATTCGTGCAGCCCACACCGAGCCCCAACAATGCTGTTGCACGGAGGCAAATGAATAGAGCACTCGTTCCCACAAGCGCAAGGCAGAATTTCGATTCGCCCAGCGACCCTTGGTCCTTCGTCGGTGAAGACTCTGCACTTTTGCAGCAACAACAAGCAAACGGAACCATGGCCGAGACCGACAACATCGAGGTCCTGGAGGAGATGGCTCGCAAAGCTATGAGAGATGCGCAGCAGAAGCGGAAGCAGATTCCGCCATTCGTGCAGAAGTTAAGCAGGTAAGCTGGGCCCCCCTCATCTCCAAAAGTCGCGAGAGATTGTACTGTATGGCAAGATTTCGTGTGTCTCCATGCTAATCTCGAATAGTTTTCTTGACGACGATAAGAACTCTGAGCTCATTCGGTGGTCCGAAAAAGGCGAATCGTTCATTGTCCTCGACGAGGATGAATTTGCGAAGAAGCTGATTCCCGACCTCTTCAAGCACAACAACTATGCTTCCTTTGTACGACAACTCAACATGTACGGCTTCCACAAGCGGGTTGGCTTGTCGGACAACTCGATGCGCGCGAGCGAGCGGAAGAACAAGAGCCCAAGCGAGTACTCGAATCCCTTCTTCCGACGAGGGCATCCCAACCTGCTCTGGCTCATCAATAAACCGAAGAGTGGTAACAAGGGCAAAAAGGGCGCCAAGAACGCAGAGGTCGAGGGCGACAGCGAGGAGGACGCCGTCAACATTGACGATGGCGTTACACAAGGTTTTAGCACCGCCAGTGCACCTGCCAGCAAAGCCCTGCCACCCTCGGGTGACATGCCGATACAGAAGAAGGAAATGACGTTGATCCGTGAAGAGTTGGCCAAAGTACGCGAGCAGCAGAGAATGATCATGACAGCGATTCAGCGAATTCAGCAAGACAACACCACGTTGTATCAACAGGCCGTGGTCTTCCAGAGCCAACACGACCGCCATCAGAACTCGATCAACGCCATTCTCAACTTCTTGGCCAATGTGTTTAGGAAGACACTCGAGGATCAAGCGGGCCCTCAGAGTGTAAACGACCTGCTCGCGAGCATCATTCCGAATGGCACAAGCTCCAGCTCTGTACCTCAAGGAAGCGTTGTGGATTTGGGCGACTACGTCCAAGCACAAACCTCGGCAGTAAACAATATCAATATCCCGAAGCGTCGGCAAGCGCTTCTCCCGCCCATTCCAAATGGCCGCGCAAATACTGTGTCGCCGTCACCAGCTAGCGGCTCGGCGACGCCTCAGCCATTTAACCGCGAGATGGGCACGGTCACGGAGCTCTTTGAAACCTCGCCCGGCGACCACACCTCACCCACCAACTATCTGGCCCAGGAGCTCGAGTCGAATCCCCACGAGAGCATGATGAAGATTATTCACGACACAAATGCCAATAACTCATCCGGCATCGACCTCCCCCACGTCGTCAATAACACTCCCGCCACAATGAGCAACGACCAACGGAACAAGATGCTGAATGCCATGGCTGGTCGATCTTCTGCAACACCCTCGACCAACGCTCCGCAGTCTTCCAAGCCCTCAATGTCCGCCTCTCCCAATCCGCCGCCTCCATCTGTCACTGCTACCCCCGATACGCCGCCCCCTATGCCTTCCGCTCCCGGTCTTTCGCTTTCGCCAATCATGGGCTCCGCTGCGCCGCCGCCTTCACTGCAGCAAATCAACTTCAATCAAGAGGACCTCGCCGCGCTACACCGCATGCAGGAGGAGCAAGCCGCGAAGCTAGACCACCTCTCGAGCATGCTCGGACCGCTCAGTCCTTCTGGTCGCATACCCGGGATCGACGAGAACGGAAACGTAAACGGCTACTTTGACGGTGACCTGGATATTGACCAATTCTTGAACCCAGACGCTTTCCAAGGAGACAACGCTTACCCGGGCGTCAACTTCAACGGCGACGGAAACGACTTTAACTTTACTCTCGACGGCTCGGCTCCCAACAACGGTGGAGCCAATGTCAATGGCACGCCGAGCTCCACCGGGACTGAAGAGGTTCCGCGGGATGGTTTCGATGGGCTCACTGACAGCCCCGACCGCGGTAACAAACGCAGACGAGTGGGTTGATGATGATTCATGACTTAAAGGGGGGTCTGCCATCGCCTGGTTACCTCTCATGACTTTCTTTTTAGCAGCACCGTCAGTGGTGCAATGGTCTTGATCATCAAGTACTTGAGGATGAAAAAGATATGGAGTTTTCCTCCTTCTCTTTCTATCTCTTTCTTTCCGGAAGGCGGCGGGTACTCGAAATATTTGTGCGTGGAAAAGAGCATGATATCCAAAAATTTGCTTATTGTTTTCTCTCTTTTCCCCTTTCTTTGAACTGGGTTGGGAAATAGGGACTGGAAGGATGGATGGACGTTGTTTCTTGCGTCAGGAAGACTCGAGGTTTTTCTTGGGCGACTGGGTGATTTGAGGTCGCAAATGGGCAACTTGATTCAGGGGGTTAGCTACACTGAGAAAATTCCTAGGACGTTGTTTTCCTGTAAGGTAGAAGAAACTCGCCGCTTCTGGTGTGGGCTTTCAATATTACCCTTGATGAATAACCCATGTTGTCGCATGACATTTCTCGAGGGTTTGTGGAGGAGCTGAGGGGATTCACGTGTCTCGCTGAGCAGACTTAGTTGATAACGACGATGACAGGCTGACGTGAGATTTGATTACAAGGTAGCGTACCTAAGTGCTTGCAAGAAACCTGGATAGTTAATTACTGCTCCCTTTTCTTGACTCGCGGGAGTGGTCATCAAAGGCATTACTGAACATGCTCAGATAAATCACAATTATCCAACAGCGGTAGTCTCCGACGAAGGAGTCAAATTCGAGGGGGAAGTCATTGTAAGCGGTTTACGATCTACGCAATCCATGCTTGTTTACTTCAGACCAAAATTATCATCAAAGTAGAGTAAGCGCCCTCTTCTCTATCAAGCCAAAATCACATGCCTTTTCTCGCGTAACTACTCTGTTTCCTAAGTCTAGCTCCCCTCTATTCATCTGTCAGTAAAGTGCCACAGTTTATACAAGCGGAAGGGGTCGAAAGAGGGGGCCTATTCATACCATGTATAAAATAAACGGCAGAGGCACAAACGCAACGGCGAAGATGGCCAGGATCATGCTCGAGCCGAGGACGCCGAACTTGTAGTACATTGGCGGTATGAGGAGCGGGAACGTCGCCCCGCAGATGCTGTTGAAGAGCTCGTTCCCGGCGAGGACAGAGCTGACGTGGTCCGGGTACGACTCGGTGAGGTAGTTGAGGATGGACATGTAGAGGAGCAAGCCACCCGCCGTGAAAAGCGACGAGCCGACGATGGGAACCAGATAGCTGATGGAGGGGCGTGCCGTCCACCCGAACCAGACGAGGCTAGCGGGTATGAAGAGGCAGCCTACCATGGCCGGGTGGAGGTGCTTTTCCGGCTCAATGTTGCCGTCGCGGTCGAAATGGGGCTCGATGCGTTTGCGGTAGTACAGGAAGAAGGGCGGGATGGTGAGGAGGACGCCGACGATGAGGCCCAGTAGCGCTATCCTTTGCTTTCCCGTGCCAAAGTGGTAAACCTCGCCGTACGCCAGGGGAAACGCCTCGAACCAAATGTACATGAGGCCGTACGTGAAGGCGCTGTACAGGTTGAGGAAGAAGACGGCTGGCTCTGTCAGGAAGAGGGTGAAGGGCCTGACGAGGTGGGCCTTGAAGACCTCAGTGCCGGAGGTGTAATCTGCCCTGAGCTGCGCCTCGCAGACGAAGCCCGAGTCGCCCGTGACTTTTCGGAGACGCATGGCGCGCCGGTAGAGAATGTTGTCGGCGCTCGTCTCGGGGAGGAAGAAGATGAGCACGGCGAGGGTCCAGGCGGCGAGCCAGGAGACGATCCAGGCGGACCAGGCCCACCCTTTGAGCTCGACGGCGAAGCCGCCGACAATGGGGCCGATGGTGGGGCCGCATATGCCGATGAGGGAGAAGGATGCTAATGCGTAGGTGTGTTTGCGGGAGGCGTACATGTCGATGAGGATGCCGCCGCCGGATCCGAGGACGGGGGAGCCGAAGAAACCGGCGAGGAAGCGGAAGCCGAAGAGCATGCCGATGCTGGTGGCGAGGGCGATGGGGATCTGCGCGAGGCCGAAGACGGCGAGGGCGGGGATATAGATTAGGTTGCGGCCGATTTGGGGGATCTCGGAGAGGGGGCCCCAGACCATCTAGCGTTTGTGGTGTTAAACGATGCTGCAAATAAGAGTTCATGGTGGAAGCTTGTTTCTGGAACTTACTGGTCCGAGACCGTAGCCTAGGACGAAGACTGTCAGGCCTAGGAGGGCGACAACTTCCGAGACGCCAAATTGCTCACGGACGCCATGGGTGCCGACGGTGTAGATGGATGCTCCTGCGTAGACGGCGATGACGAGCAGACATACGTGGAAACTGACGATAGCCTTCTTCAAGACGCACCAGTTTCTCGGGTTCTGTTCATCATGTTTTAACTCCGGCGTCAAGTGATGGATAGATGAAAGGGAGTATTTCTGTACCTCTGGGTCATTCGGCAAGAACTCGACGAGATGTAGACCCCTCCTGTTCTCGATTCCATACTTTTCCCACGTCGTGCGGCTGATAGTCTGGTTGAGGAAGTCGTTGTCCGCCTTCTCGGAGTCCAGCGAGAATCCTCGAACTTCGGTGTGTCTCGAAGCTTGCGATACTCTGGCGTTCAAAAAGACGGTTCATATGTCAGGATTGCCCTTTTCCCCGAGTCAAATGCCCACTCACCCTGAGTTAGACCGATCATAGCTCCTTTCCGTGTATCGTTGACGGATCAAGGGGTGCCTCTCGTCAAAGTATTGGAACGCCGGGTATTTGGCTCTCGTTACCGCACGAATGACATGCCATGCCCACGTATCTCGAACAAACTCGTTAAAAGTCAGCATGTTTGTCATCTATAGGCTTAGTTTCTTGACCAGAAAAAGGCTCAGATGTCAACATAGAATCAGGACAAATCAATCCTCTATATGCAAAGGACAGAAATGATTCTGGAGCGGTAGTCCGTCAAGTTTCAAGTGTCTGAATGTCTAGATGACCTTCATCGTCCTAAGGAATGAACGATGGAAACCTGCCTTTTTCCCCCTCCTCTAGAACTTGCCCGAATACGTGTGAAACCTCGCAAATAAGTTCAGTTGAGTTGGCATAGCTGAGCGGTACGGGCTTGCCCTCTCGGACAATGCCTAGGGCGGTAAGTTGCTTCGAGCATCCCCCCCCCTCCCCCTTCTGGGCTTCCTGGCGGCGCGCACCCGGCTCGAGTTTCCACTCTTGCGTCCCGTCCGGTCCCGCGTGTGGCCCACCCATCGGCATGGGGCCGTGTGTCCTCCGTGACTTTGGCCAGGACTGGATCCGGGCCAAGATTGTTTCTATGCATTTGACGTCACCGAAACAAAACTGTTGTACCCTTGTATAGTTGGAGAAAGAGATTGGAAGAAGGCATTTGGCGACCTTTCAGTTATTTGACATGTCAACTGGACATGCTAGACACTCCCTTTAAAGCTTGTCTGGCGATCACGTTGCTTGTTGTCAAGCTTCATACGACTCTTTTTGGAACGTCTAGCACTAGCAGCAGTCAGCTGCGATCTTGAACTCTGTGTTTGACTTCGTGTTCTCAAGGTTGTATCTAAACAGGCAAGTCTCGTCGAGGCAAATCGACTCGTATCAGCTGAAGTTGAAATCAAAGCGGTCGTAACAGAGTTGTTAGTTGACAGCCCCTCGTGAAGTGGGGGTGGCGTGCTGCAGGAGCTCGAGTCGGCACCCGGAGCTCAATGCACCGGTGCCGGGCCCCAATGAGTGGTCCACCAGTAACTTTAAACTTCTAGTCCCATACATGCAGCATGCATACAGCTTGAAGCTAGCTTTGCGCAGTCAACAACACCAGACGACAGACGATTCTTCGAGTTCGCAATCTCAACGACCACCAGACACATTTTGAAAATGTCCGTCACATTACACACAAATCTTGGCGACCTCAAGATTGAAGTCTTCTGCGAGAGCGTCCCAAAAACAGCAGAGGTAAGGACTCACAATCGTCGCCAAAAACTTCCCGCATCCGCATCTGCATCCCACCTCCGCCACCCCCCCTCCCCCGGATCGTATCGCGAGACAGCTTCACAATTTTACTAACGGACAACAACCCCTTTCTTAGAACTTCCTCGCCCTCTGCGCATCACACTACTACGACGCCTCGCCCTTCCACCGCCTCATCCCAAAATTCATGGCCCAGACCGGCGGGCCCGCGAACCCTTCGCCCCCGGACAACCCAAAGGGGGGCCGCTCCATCTGGGGCGGCGCCTTCGAGGACGAGATCAGGCCGGCCCTCAAGCACGGCGCGCGCGGGGTCGTGTCGATGGCGAACAAGGGTCCCGGTACCAACGGCTCGCAGTTTTTCATCCTCTTCGACAAGGCGCCGCACCTGGACGGCCTGAACACCGTGTTTGGCCGGATTATTGGGGACGACAGCACCGTCACGCTGGCAAAGATTGAGGCGGTGGAGGTGGACCGGAAGAACCGGCCCAAGGAGCCTGTCACGATTGAGAGGGTTACTATCCATGCGAACCCGCTGGCTGGGTGAGACGTGCTGTGTCTGTTGAGATTTGCGCTTTTGGTCAATGTGAGGAAAGAGAATTAGTAATGGCTCGTGGGAAAGGGAGAAAGGGGGAAAAAGGTCCCCTGAAAAGTTATGATACCCATACGTCAAACAGTCTCGTGGTTGAAGACTGCCCTGACCGCACACAATGTTTAGATGAAAATAAAGGCTTGCTTTGTCAAACACTCGCTGGGCGAGCCAGGGGCCACAATCAGGTCCTAATAAGTGACAGATCCACGCTTACGCTACAGGAAGCTTGCCTACGTGAAGTTCATACCGTCGCCTTCGTGTTCATGAGTCTCTTAGTTTCGGCGAACCGCATTCGTCACGATGTCCTCTTCGTACAGAAATGGCCAGTAGATTGTGTGCGTGCAGGTGTACAGCACAACCTTTTGTCACCTACGTATGGCGTTGCGTCCAAAATGGAAGTCGACGTGGAAAAAAAGGGAGGTTGCCCAAACAGCTTGTACCAACATCATGCGGTATGACCAGCGAAGCATCGAGGTTTGATTGGGAGGTAACCTGCATGAGCACTAAGAACTCGTCGGGTACGAGCAAACGTTGCTGTAGCTGATCGAGACTAGTGCTTCGATCAGTCGACTTCCAGACAGACTGGTGACCCAAAGTCTCCAGATTTGAGGAGCGTTGAGAGACACTTTGGACGACGATAGCAGTCGGGCAGATTACTAGGCCGTGACGGGGAGTCTTTTCCGTCTTCTCTCTTCAGACCCGATGGGGGCTTTGTAAACATAAGCACAGCCTCATCGTTCGGGGGAAGTTAGACCGGCTCACGTCAGTGACAATATCCACGGAAAAGCCCCCCAAAGTGGCTTAGGCCGGTGCTACATTTTCTTGTGTGAGATTAACGCGGCAATAGTGGGGGTTATCATCATTCCCATGCAGACTTCCCCGGCGCTCAGGATTACTCACTCACTCTCACATTCAAAACTGGTGATGGTTGTTCCTGCATACCTTACTACCTACACACAAGGAGGAGCCTCGTTCACGAATATTGTACTTGACGTCGCGAATCGAGACTTCCACGGACAAAATGCAAAACTTCAGAATCAGATATAAAATTGGAGGAGTTGGCTCTCCAGATGGACGAGATCACCTCCAAACCAGACGTCTTCGTATCAAACATACTTACAAGTGCTACTACAATTGCATAAACTTCACCGATACCTCGCTTGTGAGTGCGTTTACTGTACAGAGTACTCGATAGTAAATCCAGTTCAGCCACGCCTCAACCTACGCAGTGACTTGACCAATATACCAATATGAGCTCTTTCGAGGACCTCATCGAGACCGCCGTCCGCGATGGTATCCTCCCGGGCGTCGTCCTTTACGCAAAGGACAAATCTGGTATCTCATCTCCAAAACATGCCTCACATATAAACCCATGTACTGACTTACACCATCAAAAGGACAACTCGACTACGCCAAAGTCATCAGCCCAGAGAACACACCTCACATTCCCACCCTAACCTCCTCATCAACCCTCTGGCTTGCCTCCGCCACAAAGCTCATTACCACAATCGCCGTCCTCCAGCTCGTCGAGCGCGGCAAAGTGACCCTCGACGAGGACGTCGCACCCCACATCCCCGCCTTAGCCTCCCAACAAGTCCTCACCGGCTTCACTTCCACCTCGGACGACGATGCGAGACCGGTCCCGATCCTCGAACCCCGCGGGAACCCCCTGACCCTCCGTCACCTCCTGACCCACTCCGCCGGCACCACCTACGACTTCCTCTCCCCGGACGTCATCCAACGCTGGCAGGCCCTCAACGACATCACGCCCATCTCCGGCGCCAACGTCGAAGAGCGCTTCGCCCACCCGCTCGTCTACCAGCCGGGCCGCGAATGGTCCTACAGCAACAGCATAGACTGGGCAGGCTGTGTCGTCGAGTCCGTCACGGGCGTCGACCTGGAGACCTACCTCCGCACCAACATCTTTGAACCCCTCGGCCTCGAATCCTTCACCTTTTCCCGTGCCCGCGTCGCCGGTGAGGAGGAGGCGGGGGAGAAAAAGAAGGGGGGGGAGAAGGGAAACAACACCCTCTGGCCACTAAGCGAACGCGAAGCCTCAACGGGCCGCGTGATCCCGCACACCACCGGTGTCGGCATCGACCTCCAACGTGGCGTCGAGGCCCCGCTCGGCGGGCAGGGCTTGTACGGGCGTATGGACGAGTACCTCGTGATCCTGCACTCCCTGCTCCTCGACGACGGCAGGCTCCTCCGCCCGCAGACCGCGGCGGGGATGTTCCGCCCGCAGCTGGGCGAGGCCTCAAAGAAGAGTCTCTTGGAGAAAATGGAGGATTCGTCGTGGACTGTCGGGGACCTGCCCCCGACGCGGGAGTATGACTGGGCGTTTGGCGGGTTGCTCGTCGACGGGGAGGCGCATCCGCGCCGGAGGCCGGGGACATTGATTTGGGGCGGGGCGGCGAATATCTTTTGGGTGCGTTTTACTCCCATTCTCTCCCTCTCTCTCTCTCTTCCTCCTTTCCCCCCAATTCTTATCTCCTTCCTTGCCGCAACCCTGTGACAGAATTGCTGAGAGGTGCTGACCGGGACTCACTAATCTAGTGGATCGACCGCGAAACCGGACTCGCTGGTGTGTTTGGCACCCAGATCATGCCGGCCGGCGAGGCGGTGACCAGGGGCTACATCAAAGCCTTTGAAGACGAAATGTACTCGAGAGTCCAGAGTTTGAAGAGAGGGTATTGAGCAAGAGATAGCAAGTCTGGTTGGTTGTTTTCGGTTCCCATGTCAACTTTAGACATTGGATGTCGACTTCCAGGAACTATTGCCCGCCACGATGGCCCGTGTCTTGGTGCTCGGAGTAAATTAGACGGTGATAGAGCAAAGCACCTAGTGTAAAGGCAGGTATCCTGTCATCTTCTTCTCGATCCACATCTTCCATCGCAATATGGTACTGCCGTTGCTCAACCACAGCTCATTGCGGCGTCATACGGGGCAAATCCCATCTCGTCAAATGTCACACAAACACACAAGGTCACTAGAAAGAAACTAGCCATGCAGAAACAAGAAAAGAAAGTTTCCATCATTCGCCTTCGCTATAATCTACCATGACAAAGGCGCAAGCATGTGCAACCAGTCAAGTAAAGAACTCAAAACCCTGTGATG